TATGCTCGTCCACCCAGTGTACCGGACGCCAGAGCGCAACAGCCCATGATTCGATGCTCAATACTACAGGCAGACAAGTAAGAGCCTTTCACACAATCATCTTCTAGGATGTCCGGACAAGCGGAGATGTGGGAGTATTGAACCCCTATTCGCGGAGTCGGAGGCAAGTCAAAGCGAAATAGACAGCCTCAGAGCCCTTCTAACATTGCACTGATCAGTTTCCAGTGGTGAACAGTCCTCCATCAGCACAGCAGACTCGAATCTCGAGCAATTGAGCCAGACGAAGGGTGCCACGTCAGTGAGTCTCCGAGCTCTAATGCAGCTGCATGGATTCAACTGTAGGTGCACCGTACCACAGTCGGTATCTGCCATGGCTGATGAGCACAAATGATATCCTATCGTTTTCAGCGGAGCAAAGCAAGTAACTGAAGATAAACCCTGCACCTGAGCGGGGGCACATGCGGGATTATTCCTCTGCAGATGTGGGAGATCAGCTGAAGAGAATCGGTCCCTATTAGAGACCTGAGCTCGTCATGCAAATGCAAGTCATGTTCACTCTATAGGGTCATGTCCAAGGACAAACCAGGTGCCAATTGAGGCCTTCCAGTGACGCGTCTTTCGCCACCATGAATGGAGCGAAGAGAATTTCCTTGGTAAGTGATGACCAGACGGAAGCATGCGAAGTATACGAGACGGTCACAGGCACGAGGGTTAGCTCATCCGCAAAAGATCGATCAGTGTCCAACAAATTGGAAAAAGCAACTTATTAGTGTTGCAGCCAGACAACGAAGCCCTGGCCTATTGGGCAGGCTGGCAGCTCGCTAGAGATTCGAAAAAGAAAAATGCACCCAGAAGCTGATTCAATCTAGAATCCGGCTTCTTTCTCGGCATGACTCCGTTGCAGAATGTATGCCACCAGGATTGCTTACGATTGAACTAATTGGCCGTAAGCAGATAGTCACAAAATCATGGAAGGGAGAACATGTAACAAACCAGACTAGGTGATCGGGGCATTGATCACATTGACGTTTCAAACGGCACCAGTGGTTTGCTAACCCCTCCATGCCGAAATGTTAGGTTGCCGTTCAACGGGAAGGAGAAGACCTTCGATGTAAGACGGACAGCATGACAGCTGGCACAAAAGTAAAAACGACTGCCTCATGCAGGAGCTTTGATTCAGCAAGCGGATGGTCTGGTTGATTCTTGAATTCCGGTTCGTACGCAGCGGAAAGCCATAGACGAAGCGGGGACGATCAACGGAGCATCTCAGGCTGCAACAACAATCCGAGCTAACAGGACAAAGGCCAAAAGAGATCAATCATGGCGAATGAGGGATTTTCAACACGGGCTGGATGAGAGAACACGACAGCAGGATGTATGCATTTGTGAATCGCCAGGTGATTACAGTTGCCCCGAACAGGAAGGGGGTGGGTTTTTCGTGTCTCCACAGTCAGGGAAATTCCAGCATAGCCAACCGCGAAATCACTGGATGGGGAGGTGTGAGTGTGATGATAGAACACCGTAGTCGACAAGCCATCGGATGCTGAGCTGAATTCGATCGACAATTGATGGGCATGGGACGATAATTGGCCGTCTTGTAACATGAACGCTTTTGACGAAACATAAATAGGGCCACGGAGGCCGTCCACTTCTCGAATTCTGAATCAATAACCGTTTCACACTCTGCTTCTTCAAGGAAAACCATTCGAAATAAGACTTCGCTGTCGATTAAAGGTGTTTCAATTTCAAGGCAACCTTCGACCTTCAAGAGTCTTGTGCAAGCTTAGCCTATCAAATCTCTGCACGGCGGCAGGATCTTTGAGCGGACCAATAGAACACAGCTAGACACTTGAAACCGCAAGCTGCAGCAACGACAGTGAGTTTCATCCAGACCCTAGGAAACCATTAGCTGACAACGAGAATTAGGTATGTGCTTCTACAACCAGCGGAAGTTTTCATGCGGTGACTGGAGTTGGACCACCTTCGCTCACCGTTGCAATTACGAATATCGTACGGGCGAGACATGCGGCATGAGACTCGTGAATGAGACCTTCAACGAGAAGGTAAAATGCCGCCTGTGCGATAAAATCGATACCAAGGTGCGGCGGCGAAACGCCGAGGTGGACAGATTGACTCGATGGAAGCGAGAGGGAGGCACCCTCGTAGCTTCCATGGAACGAAGTCAGAATCTGATCAAGGAGCTCGAACGAGAGATCTTCCAGCTGGAGAGAGAGAAGCAAGAAAAGCAGCGAGCACTGTCATAGGAGGGACATTGATAATCTGCGGTGGGAAAATCGAGCGAGAATGTCGCGAGTCAAATGCTGTTTCTTTTCTTCACATTTCAGATTCCCTCATTGGTAATTCTTCGATCGTTCTTCTTGTTTGTATCTTTTGTGGTTAGCCCCTGTTTTTCACTGTCGATGTGTCACGTTGCGTGAATTCGACCATTGTTCATTTCAATCTCGTCTTTTCAGGCTGCAGCCTCACAATGGTTGGCGGATAGTTTTCGGTTTCAGCAAAAAGCCCTGAGCAAAAGGATCAGGTCCAATAAAGTTTTTCCAATGTTGTATATTTGACATTCCCAGGCGCCATCCCTCGGAGGAAGTTCCACACCGTAAGCGCCGATGTTGATGAGCGGCTCGTCAAAGCCAGAGAAGCGTTTCACCACAGCAATTGTTCGGTGAAGAGGGCATCAATGTAGTCAATTACAGCATAGGATGCCCCTTCTATGAAGAATCACCCTATAAAGCGATGCAGCTGCCCTGGCATTTTCATGGAAGAGAACAGTGAGAGTTGCGAACGAACGATGGGCTTGGAGATATGGAGCTGGAACAATGGATGGATATAGACCAAACCCCGCGTTTCGGCAATCGCCACGTGATGGCCCTCCTCTTTCGGTTAGAGGCGTCCTGTCCTGTCAACTGCCAGCACCAACGGATGGTGGATGAATCCAGCACAACGGCATCACTCCGTCAAAGTTGGCTCCTTGCACCAAGCTCCGCTGTGGTAATATGAGATATATGATTCGGACATGGCCCTGCCTTGCGTATTCGTGCTCAAAATGGATCCATTGAATGTACTGCACCAGGACCAGGATACAGCCAATATTCGACATAAAATGCTGCGGGATGCCATTTTGCCCATACTCTCTATAGATTGGGTACGGGACAAAGATATGGTCTGATTTCGGGGCGTCATATTTATATAGGAAAGGAATGTGGCACCCTGGGCTCAGGGAAGCCCTTCGTTTGTTCAGGCGCCCAATGTCAATGAGGTCCTTTTCAGCTACGTGGACCATTCAGCTTCGGAGATCTGTGAAGAACCGGATCGGATGTCCCTCAGATACACGAGGACAAATGTACAATGAATTGTCCGGTAGCCAGCTTGATATCGCCGCTTGCCACGTCACCCGTGGACAACGTCAGTTACGCTTCAGGTGCAGCTTCAGGGAAGTGTTCTGTGTGCCATGATTTGATACACGTCTCTCCTAACAAGTTACATGCTTATGAGCGGTGCAAAGCCTACGATGTATAGCTCAAGGACGTTTGGTCAATGGAAACAAATGATATTATCTTGGTCAAAAAGCAGAAATCTGTCATTCACTCATTTATTTGATCTCACCAGCCTCGGGCTCATCGTCAACCTTGGCCAATCCGTGTTCTTTCAATAGAGCATTGATCTCATCGGCGCTCCACAGATGGTGGTAGATCTTGCCTTCAGGCGTTCTTCCCACCGTCGCGAACTCGACTATTTGAAATGTGCATGTTAGCAGGTGATACGGCTGAGATACAGTTTGTACGATCCGGAAAGGAACCACTTACTCTTCTCACTGCTCAACTTCGTTGAGTCCATCGTCTTGCTCAAGACCTTCACCGCCATGGCGCAAGCCTCCTTCAGATCACAATCCTCCTTGTAGTCCTGCTTGAGCAAGCTTTGGGCGCTTGCGTTGTTGGCACCCACACTGGTCGCTTTCCAACCACCGTAGTTACCGCTGGGGTTGCTCTGGTACAACTGGAACTGCCGAAGAGGGTCGTAGCCCGCATAGATGAATGACACGCCGAAGGGACGAAGACCACCGTGTTGGGTATATCCTTGTTTCAAATCGCACAACCGACGGACAAGTTGCTCGCAAGGGATCTCTTCGTTGTAGGTAAGGAGGTACCGCTGGGCGGCTTGTCGGGCGTAGTTGATCAGGATGTTCGCGTCTGCCGTCATCCCAGCAACAGCACAGATCATGTTGCTGCCCACAATGTTAGGCTAGTCAAGGGCGGTGGGATGAGGGCCGCATACTCGTTCAGTGTGTACAGCTTCTCGGCAGATGTGTCCTGCTCGAGCAGCTTGCTAGTGACTTTCTTCTCCGCGGCCAGGACGATTCCATCCTTGGCCAGAATACCCAGAGCAGTACCGGCGTGCGAGATGGCTTCTAACGCATACTCAACCTGGTACAGTCGACCTTCCGGGGAGAAGATGGTTGTCTGTCGAAGAACGTCATCGGGTCAGCTAGGAAGCTCCCGAAAGAACAATTAATCATCGGGGAAATAAGCATACTCTAGAATCATATCTTCTTGACATCTTGAACTAATCGAACAAATATTGAAAAACTCCAGTTGTGTATGTCAAGCAAAGAGAGAGGGTGGGAATGAGCGGAGTTGTGATGGGGGGGGGGGAAAGATGAAGGGAGATGCCGAGCAAGCTGTGCAGTTGAAGGTCGGATGAGCTCCTCACGTAGGAAGTGAGCGAGTGAGTGACCGACCAGGCAACTTCGCCCTGGCGCGTCCACCAGCCAGCCCGCCCCGGGCTGACTTGACCATCCGTCCGCCAAGCTCGGACCACCTCGAGATTCCATGCGAAGCTCTCCGCGACACTGGCGCAAATTATCTTCCAACGGCGCCACAAGACTTCAACTTTTGGATTAAACATCGTTCTTTATGCGCTAAAATATCCTTACTCCTTCTACATGTTCACTTGAGTGGATTTACGTTGCATATCTATATTTCACCATGCTAAGGTCGACATATACCCCACCTCCTCCGCTACCTCCAGGATGGACCGAACATAAAGCTCCTACAGGTTTGCTCACCTAACCAGAGTCTCGTTTAGATTTCGTCGCTGATTTGATTCAGGACATACATACTATTACAATGCGCAAACCAAGCAATCCACCTACACCAGGCCCCTACCAGTCCCGACCCAACCCCAACCGCCGACAATAACGCCGCAACAACCCACGTTCAACACGAACATAGACACACTGCCCCCATTCTCTTCTACTCCTTATGCGCCTCACGGATTCGGACTTGGTGCCCCTGGCTTCAATGCCATCCCTCAATACGCACAGCAACAAGGAAGTCAGGGCCAAGGAAATTTCCGTGGCGGGAGAAACAACTATGATCGTCGACGTCGGGGGCCAGAAGACAGGCCCAAGAAAAAGCACGCAGTGCCAGGTTGCGCGCCGTGGGTGCTTGTGAAGACGAAACTAGGAAGACGATTCGTACACAATCCGGAGACAAACGAGAGCTTCTGGAAAATCCCTCCCGAGGTGATGAAGGGGGTTCTCGAGTTCGATCGCTTGGAACAAGAGGCACTTGCGAGAAAGGAACGGGGCGAAGATATCCATGATGTTGGAAACCTGGACCATACAGAGGGCAGTTCAGGAGAGAGACAGGAGGCCGAGGTTTCGGCAAGCGGGCCCACAACAGCACACGCTGAGGAGGACAGCGATGAGTATGAGGAAGTCGAGGTTACAGACGACGAGGACGAAGACCAACCTTTCAAACGACCAAAGACCGATGAAGATGAAGGTCACCCACAACCTGTGGAATTTACGGAAGAAGATATGGAATATCAGTTAGCAGCGATGGGAGAAGAATACGGCCTTGACCCCGGCGAGTATGGCGAACCAGGCGAGGAAGGGTGGGAGGAGGGTGCTGAAGGTCTGCCGCTCACGGAGGAGGATGCTACGGCTCTGTTCCGCGACCTCCTCGACGACTTCCATATCAATCCCTTCACGACCTGGGAGAAGATCATTGAAGAAGGCCACATCATAAATGACAGCCGCTATACTGTTCTCCCGAACATGAAAGCGCGTCGCGACGTCTGGTCAAACTGGAGTCGCGATCGTATCCAAGAAATCAAGGAGTGCAAGCAGAAGCAAGAGAAGAAAGACCCGCGCATAAAATACCTGTCATTCTTGCAAGAACACGCAACCCCAAAACTGTACTGGCCAGAATTCAAACGGAAATATAGGAAAGAGCCAGAGATGAAAGACCCACAACTGTCGGACAAAGACCGGGAGAAGTTCTACCGCGACCTGGTATCTCGAATGAAGCAGCCCGAAAGCAGTCGAAAATCCGATCTCTCGGCTCTGCTCAAGTCTGTGCCTTTGCATGAATTGAACAAATCATCCAACCTCGAAGCGCTCCCCACCTCTATCATCACCGATCTCAGATACATCGCACTAGCTCCCAAAGTACGTGATCCGCTTATTGAGACATACATCTCGACCTTGCCCCCGGCGCCAGAGGATAACCTCACCGCCGATGAAAGAGAAGAGCTGGAGCGAAAAAGAGTGGAGCGAGAAAAGCGCGAGAGGGCATTGGCGGAACGTGAGAAGCAAGTTGAAGATGAAAAGCGGAAGCAGAAGGGCGAACTCATCCGTGGCAAACATCTCCTAAGAGAAGGTGAGGTCGAGCTTGAGGAAGCTATGCAAGTCAACAAGGGCGGCCTGCGCAGCTACCTGGAAGCAGAGGACCAATCGTCCAGACCTCAAGGAGAATAGGGAGCATTCGGGAAGTGCATTTCATGTATAGGATAATCATGATTTTAGATGACTGTAAGATACATGTTGAACCATTTCTGTCTCTAACTAAAGGATCAATCACAACAATGCTTATGATTCAGCTATGTGGGCGTAGTATGCCCTGCCATACAAGCAAGCGCAGATGTGGAGGTATGAAAGAGCAAGTAAGCTAGCAGGACAGCACTCGCGTTGCCAACACTGTGGCGGATTAAGATGATTAGTAGCAATTTTGTCTGATCGCACATAGCTCATGGGGTATCATTGTAAGTTTTTAGAAAAGTTCTGGACCTCCCTCTTTGTGAAATGACGCCGTTTGTTTATGTCCCACGCCTGAACCTTGACCTTAGCAATTACCGGAACCTCCAGTTGTCCCAATCATCATCGTCTTCGTCTTCGTCGTCGTCGTCATCATCATCATCATCATCTTCTTCTTCTTCCTGTTCATCTTCATTCTCGTGACGGCGTCCGGCGTGGCCCAGCTCATCCTGCGGCGCAGGGGTAGCGGATGGAGATTTATCCATATCCTGCACTATGATATCCTCGGTAGGTCTAAGTTGCCGCAGTTCTTCGCGCTTCTGCTTGAGGCGCTTGAGACGCTCCTCTAGCTGTTCCATCTCATCGAACTCGTTCTCCATGAAGCGCGCCGCATCCTCGCGCTCTCCCTCCGCCTCCACCTCGCGGTTCTTGCTTATCGTCTCGGATTCGCGCTGTTGCTGTGCAGCGATCTCTTCCGCGGTGAGGGGCGCGGCTGAGATGGTTGCCGTCGCGGTCAGCGCCGCGGGCCGGTGAGGCATGCGCGTTGGCGCCACCACCTCGCGCTCAAAGGCCGCCCACTCATCCTCATCCACGGTTTGAGAAAGTGGTGCTGGGGCTGTCCCAGCAGGGGTTTCTGAAGGTTGTCCCACCGGCTCGGAGGGGTCGTGCTCGATGGGAGCGTCTGACGGGGCTTCGGGACCGGTGACTTCCTCGTCTAGTTGTTCGAGCTCCTCCTCCTCGTGTTCCTCCTCGATAGCCGTCGCGCTCGGTGGCTGTATCGTCATATGCCCCGCCGCGGAATTGGGTTCTGCGCCGGCCGGCCTGATCTTCTTGCGCATCGGGTCGTCTGCGGGATCTACCTTTCTTTTCTTGGTTACACGGTTGCCCGTGCTCCCTGTCTGAGAGGAGCCCTTGCGGGTGGCGAGCTCATTGCGGAGTAATGAGCGAACATCGGCCATGATCCTTCTTCTGGGAATGGGGATAAATGCTATGATAATGTAAAGAGACAATGAGAAGGAGTAAGAAAGCGTTTGGTTGGAATTACTAGGTAGGTAGGTAGGTAGGTAGGTAGGTAGGTAATGTAAAGCCCTTTTTCAAACCAGGCGATTAGAAAATCAATCTATGTGGGGATTCCGGAGAAGCTTTGGAAGGGGCGGCGAAGAATAAACGCGACGAGAACGGGCGACGGGCGCACCGCGCGCCAAGCCGATTCCGCGGAGCCGCAGTCACGTGGTATTTATTCGGGTTCAGCTGATTCAGCATCTGAACCAACTTAGTTAGCTCGCTCACTTAATCAGCAGCCTGGAGGAGGTTCAACCGCGACAACATCTCCTCTTCTTCCCAACCTCGGATCATTCTTTCTCACCTCCCATCGACCCTGGCTGATTCTCGCTGGGCGCACCTTTTTTTCAAGAATCGCCACTGTGCAATACATCTTGTGCACTCTCTGTTCGCAGTTCACGATACCACGTCTAAATAACCCGTGAGGCTTGAGCCACTTTTCGCGCGAACCCCGCCCACGCCAAGCATCCTGCGCGCGACACCGGTTGTGGTTGTTGAACAAACCTCCCTCCCTCCCAGTCACGGATGGTGACGCCACAGACTATTCCGTCCCATCGTGTCTAAATAAGTCAGTCGCTGGAGCTTGGAGAAGATCAAGTAATACTTGCGCGGACCGCAGCACAGCAGTGCCAGTCGCCAGTGCCTTTCTCTGTGTATTGCTTTAGCTCTTCTGATGCCGTAGAACCGTGACCTGGGTGGCGTGCGCAACTTTCCCTTTGGACACTTTGGATCCAGCCCATTATCTACCTCCCCATCCGCTTTTCCTATTACACCAACAATTTCGCGCCGTAGAAATTTGAAAATCTACTTCAGTCATTCACTCCCATCATGGCTGGTAAGCTATCGTATTCCACCCATGTTTCCCTACCGGAGCCAACACTGTCTGTGGGCGGTGTTGGTGGCAGGCAAGCCTGGAAACAAACCTATGGCACGAATTGGATGCAGCTAACAAAGAACTTCAGATGAACCGAGACGCTCTGGTCGCTCGACCAAGGGCCAACACAAGAACCTCGACATGATCACCGAGACGCCGGCGAAGAAGACGAAAGCCAAAGCTCAACCGAAGGAGAAACCCGCGAAGCCGTCCGTGGAGCCGACACCTGCTCCTAGCGAAGAGGAAGAAATTATCCGATGTATCTGCGGTGAATACGAAGAGGAGGAGGATATTGAGCGTGACATGATCTGCTGTGATCGATGCTCTGCATGGCAACACAACGACTGTATGGGCCTCACGTTCGCTAAGGGAGAAGAGCCCGATGAATACTTTTGCGAGCAGTGCAAGCCCGAGAACCATCCGGTCCTCTTGGAGAAGATATCGCGGGGCGAAAAGCCGTGGGAAGAAGCGGCTGAGCGGCGACGCATAGAAGCGGAGGAGAAGAAGGCCTCGCGGCGCAAGAAGGGGAAGAAGGGCGGCCGACGAGGTCGACAAAGTGAGGTCAAAGTTGAAACGAGTACTCCAGCTCGCGCAGCAGCCTCGACAACACCTGCCCCTACTCCTACCCCAGCTCCTGTGGCTGCGCCTGCGCCTGCTCCTACTGCTTCTCCGCCTCCTGCTTCTGCTCCTACTCCTTCTCCTGCTGCCGAAGCCACTGCTACCGAAGCTCCGGCTGCTGCGCCTGCTAAGGAGCCATCTCCTGCTAAGGCGCCAACTCCCGCCAAGGAGCCAACTCCCGAGAAAAATGGACATACTTCTGAAGCTCCACCAGCAAGCGCCCAGAAACGCAAGTTCGAGGAGCATCAAGAAGCTCCAACCGCGGAAGCTGTACGTAGCCTGTTCCTTCTCTGGCTTGACCACGCCGGACTGACACTAATCCTGATAGGAACCAAAACCGAAGCAGCAGAAGATCTCACCCCCAGCCGTCACCCCCACACCTCCCCCCGAATCGGCCTCAGTGAAGGATGAGCCCGCCGGGCAATCTTCTCGACATGGCTCCACTGCATCGCCATCGCCGACCACCGCAGACGTGACGAAGTCCCTGGAAGAACCCACTAACCCGGCTCGAAGAAGTGCTGCTAGTGCCCTGGTCAAGTTATTTGTAGATCAGATTTCTGAGTCCCAGAAGAAAGGATCTTTCAGCTTGCCCAAAGGGAAACCCGTGGGGGAAGTTGCGCGGCATCTTGGACTCTCGATTGAGAGTGCTATGTACCAGAATATATGCGGAGGATCTGGAGAGCCTACAGACCCGTATAAGACACAATTGCGGACGATCCTGTTCAACGTAAAGAAGAATCCTTCTCTACGGGATCGTCTGCTCGTAGGTAGTTTACTTCCCGATGCCCTCTCTAAGATGAGCAGCCAAGACATGGCCAGTGAGGAGCTCCAGCAGAAGGATGCTGAGATCAAGCGGGAAGCCGAGCGTCAACACATTATCATCCAAGAACAAGGGCCGCGCATTAGACGCACCCATAAGGGTGAAGAACTGGTCGAAGACGAAAACCATACCGCCGCCAGCGAGCCGGTTTTCTCCACGGCCGCATCTCGACGCAGTTTGGCCGAGGCCGACGGCAGTCCTGCCGGACAGAGTCCGACCAGTCTAACGCCACAGACGACTGAGACCGATGGCGCTGCACAGAAGCATCCCAATGAGCCCAAGCTCCCCGATGGGGTGGACATTCGTCGCGATGACTTCCCTCCGAGAGCACATTCGCCTGGTGGCACCAGCCATGAGCCTGTCTTCCCTGAAGTGTCGGCTCATATCCGCGAACAGCTACCAGCACGCAAGGCACAGGCCGATGCAGAGATTGATAAGTTGCTCAAGGACGATGAACCCGAATCGCCGCCCTACTCACCCAAGGACTACCACGACGAAGGATCGATCTGGCATGGCAAGGTGATGATGAGTACCATCGCCGAGTTCTCCTCCTCGGCGAAGCACGCAGGAGGCGCCGACCTCAGCGGGCGTATACCCTGGAGCCAGCTGGTTCCCTCGACTTTGCTTGTGGACGGACGCATCGACACTCAGTTGGCGGGCAACTATCTCTGCGGTCTGCGATTCAGCTCTTCGACCGATGTCACCGTCATCTCGATCAGCAGTCCCGAGAACCCCAAGGAGAGGGCCGGCTTCGACAAGCTGTTCAGCTACTTCCAGGACCGCAACCGATACGGGGTGGTGGGCAAACACCCACTGCCAGCTGTCAAGGATACCTACCTGATTCCGATTGAGGCCGGTTCGACCAAGAAGCCCGACTTTATCGAGCTGTTGGAGAACAACACCCTCGAGGATCCCATGCCCGAGCGGGTGCTCCTGGTAGTCTTCGCCGTCAAGACAGGCGATTCGAACCCTCCCTCTGTCCAGCCTTCTCATCCCACCAGCCAGGAGCCTGGTGCTTCTGCCAGCCCTCTCACCACGGCTCCCTCGCAGCAGCAACAACAATTCCTGACCCCGGCCCCCCCTCGCCATTCCTCTCAATTCACCCCCAGCCCAGCACCATCGTTTCCCGCCACGCCGCAGGCGCCAGTCCCCTACGGCCAGCAACCGCAGCAACCACCCGCAGTGGCCACCCAATACCCCTCTTATCCCCCTCCTCAAGCTCCCACCCACCAGGCTCCCTTCACAGGTCTGGCGGCAGCCATCCAGGTCTTGGGTCCGCAGGCCGCCCAATCCCCCGCTCTCCAGCAACTGCTGCAGCAGGCGCCCAACGCCGACGTCTCTCAGCTGGGAGTGATCAAGGAGATCCTGCTACGCCGACCCGAGGCCAGTTCAGATTACAAGCTTTTAACCGAAGAACTATTCAAGGTCACCGCGGCCAATGGACATCCTGGTGGAGGACAGCAGAACAACCGGTAGAAGGGAAAGCTTAGACATTTGCTGTATAGTACCTCATCTTTCTTTCCTTTATCTTGTCTCCTCCTCTCCTCTTCATTCGCCGCATCTCTTCTCCTTTCTTCCCATTTTCTACATTCTCATTTCAGTCTCATGGTTGGAATTTGGTGTTCAAATCTCAGTGCGGGCCCTTTCCCCGAAGGTTTCCAAACTACCTCTTTCTTTCCTTTTTTTTATATCTTCATCTGGTCTTAAAATGTGTCTTTGGGCGAAAAACGGGGGGAGCTTTTCTTCCTACTATTCCTTATTCTGTCACTTTTTGTTCCTTTGCTTCTTTTTTTCTCTCTTGTGAAGACACGCAGGCTATTTATTTGATCCAGCGATGGTTTATGCTGTATGTTTTTCCAATTGCGGCTTGATTGCCCGATTGTCACTTCCCAGGGGCCAATCTGATGTATGCATTTGCAGATTGTACGGCAGATAACGCAGATCCTTTTCGATCGATTGAGCAATATACTGATTATCCAATAACATTTGCTACTTCATGATTTATTTGTATTGGAAGAATTGCATTAGAGGCTCTTGAGACAGGGTATTATACCGCAGTGCGTAGATTTGTTTGTTTCGCTAATATAAGCTACAGTGATGTTTAGATATCTTTTTGAGACAGAAAGAAGAAGATAGCCATGACATCCGCCAAGCATGGTCGACCGTGAAAGGAAACGCCTACGCTATGCAAAGACCAAGGTGAGAGCGTATAGCCGAACAGGAAATGAAAAGGAAAACAAAAACAAAAGACAAAAAAAAAAAAAAAACAGAAATCGGTATAGGACAATCCAAAAAAACCCTCTCCTCCTCCTTCTCCTTGTTTCATGATCATCGTCATCCGTCATCATCACCACCGAGGACCACGCTTTTTGTACCCACCACCGCCGCCGCCGCCACCACCATAGCGAGGCCCGCGGCCACCGCCCCCGGAGCGACCACCGCCCCAGCCCCGATCACGATCGTCCTCGTCATCGTGGTGTCGGACCGGCGGGGGTCGGCCCTTGAGCTCCTCGCTGAGTCGCTTGAAGGTCTTGCGCATGTCCGAGTATCCCATGTGCATCTTGCCGAAGAAGTGATCGGCCAGGCGGCGGTCGTTGTCGAGGCGACTCAGGTACGCGCCGCAGACATCGCAGACCTGCAGCTTCTGGTGGCCCGAGGGGCCCGAGGTGTCCTGGAGGTTCTTGAGGTCGCGCTCGCACGTCTCCTTCTGGTGCTTGGCGGTGCGGATCTTGTGCAGTTCGTTCAGGGCCTGCGCCACGGCGCCCGTCTCGCCCAAAACGGAGATCTCCAGCAGACCCGAGTTGATGGTGTTGGCGAGGTCGGCGATTTGTTTTAGCTGCATAGTAACAAGATTAATTTCTGGTATTCCAGCGTAATGTTCTAGGTCATGGGGAAGGGGGAAGCAGAGCAGCAGAGAAGCCAGCCAGCCTTACCAGGTTATTCGTCTGACGGATCTCATCCGGGGTCTTCTCCAACCGTCGCTGCGCCGAGTCAATGCGTCGGTCACAGTCGTCGATGTACTTCTGCATGTCGCGCATGTAATCATAGTCGAACCCCCACTTGGCCTTGTCCGCGGCCGAGGCGGCCTCGTATTCCGTCTTCAGTCCTTCGCTGTGCACTTTCGGGCACTGGCCCAGGTCTTGTTTGGTGTTGGTGAAAAGGTCGTGGGGGCAGGTGCCGACGAGGTAGGAACGGCAGACTTTCGGGTCGGTGATGGCGAGTTGCGCATTGCGGGATTGCGCTCCTGTGCCGACGAGTTGATCCGCTGCAGTCAAGATGTCGAGGATTAGCTAGCTATCTCGATATTGCGGGTTTTTGAGACGAGGGGAGAGAGCTAGAAACGCTGGAGAAGGGAATTGTTGGGGACGTACCTCCCATGAGCTGCTCAAGCAGCTTTCTTTGTTCCGCAGCCATGGTGGGAATAATGCCTGGGATCGAAAGAGTGGTGAGGGGTGAGGGGATGAGGGAGGGGGAAAGAAAGGAAAGATCGCACTTGAAGGAGTTTGAATTGGAGAGCTTCTGCTTCTTCTTCTGTTCTGGCCGGGAAGTTCTGCGGGCGTGGCGCTAACCGCGGTTGGCTGCGCTTATGTGAGCTCCGGGCCCCTGTTCGCCTTGCGATATTATACACTCTACTTTCGCTCATTATCTCGACTACAGGAATACTTCCCCCCATGATATAACGGGTAGTTGATGACTGTCGAGTCTAACGGAGCTTGAAACGTTGGAATTCGACCCGAACGAATCGTCGTTGACAACGAACTGTCGTTGACGTACTGCAGGTGTCTCCGCAACTGTCAGTTGTTGTTGCATCTCTCACGAGCAACGCAGCTGCCGAACGTCGCAACTCCACCACCGAGGGGTGGTGCATCAAGATATCTTAACTGGATTCTCTCTGAAGCCTCCGTGTCGGCCAGCATGACGTGATGACTGTCCTTTCGCTTCTCTCTCTACTCTTCCTGGCCGCGTTCTCCTCGCTCGCCTCCGCGAACTCCGACTACCACGAGAGCCTCGTCCTCCAACCACTTCCGCAATCCGCGCTATTAGCTTCCTTCAACTTCCAGAGCAATGACTCGCAGACCTCTTTCCATGAGCGTCACTTCCGCTATTTCCCCCGCGCGCTAGGCCAGATCCTCCGCCACGCCAATACCAAGGAGCTGCACCTCCGGTTCACAACGGGTCGATGGGATGCTGAGAGCTGGGGTCCTCGCCCGTGGAATGGAACCAAGGAGGGGGGCACCGGTGTGGAGCTGTGGGCGTGGATCGATGCCGTGGATGATGAAGCGTACGTCTTATGCTGGGGTGACCGGACAGATAGGATCCAATGTTGACATCAATCAACCAGGGCTTTCGCAAAATGGATCACCTTGGCCCAATCACTCTCCGGCCTGTTCTGTGCCTCGTTGAACTTTATCGACTCGACCAGGACGACGAGGCCAGTCGCATCGTTCGAACCCACAGGGACTCATGCGATATCGGACAATTTGCATCTTCTGCACGGAACACTTCCTGGCGAGGTGGTCTGCACCGAGAACTTGACGCCATTTTTGAAGCTCCTTCCATGTAAGGGCAAGGCGGGCGTGGCTAGTCTTCTGGATGGGCACAAGCTTTTTGATGCTTCGTGGCAGAGCATGTCCGTAGATGTGCGTCCTATCTGCACGCAGACCGGGGAATGTGTTGTGCAGATTGATCAGTCGGTGGACATTGTGCTCGATATCGACCGGTCCAAGCGTCCACGGGGTCAGTATAGCTTGCTTGACGTATGACGATCTGTGCTGATCCTTCCCCTAGATAACCCCATCCCACGGCCCGTGCCTAACGAGCAGCTCGTGTGCGATACATCCAAGCCTTACCACTCGGACGACACCTGCTATCCGCTAGAGAGCACGTCCGAAAAGAGCTGGGGGATGTCTGAGATCTTCGGCCGCAGCATTAGCGGGTCATGCCCTCTCACCGAGGGCTCTACCGACGGGACAGTCTGCCTGCGAGTGCCACACGAACGAGAAGTCCTTACGACTGAAGGCGCGGTGGAATCGAAGAAGCCCGACGGCTACACCCGCTGCTTCACCCTGGAGTCTTCCACGCCTTTTGACCTCACCATCCCCGAGCAAGAGACCACGACTCAGGTTCCACTCGAAGAGTCTGTCCTGCGCGCCGAGCGCACGATCGTAGGACACGGTCAGGAACGCGGAGGGATGCGGATCATCTTCGACAACCCCTCGGACACCCACCCTGTTGACTTCATCTACTTCGAGACGCTGCCGTGGTTCCTCCGCCCCTATGTCCACACCCTCCAAGCCACCATCACGGGCCGCGACGGGCTACGTCGCCAAGTGCCCGCCTCGCAATTCATCAAAGAGACCTTCTACCGCCCGGCCATCGATCGCGAACGCGGGACCCAGCTCGAGCTGGCGCTCTCCGTGCCGGCCGCGTCGACGGTGACGCTGACTTACGATTTCGAAAAGGCCATCCTGCGGTACACGGAGTATCCCCCGGACGCCAACCGCGGGTTCAACGTCGCTCCGGCGGTGATCAAGCTGAGCCCGGCGGACGGCGGCGGCGCCAGCCACCCGATCTATATCCGCACGACGAGCCTGCTTCTTCCACTCCCCACTCCGGACTTCAGCATGCCATACAACGTGATCATCTTGACGAGCACGGTAATCGCGTTGGCTTTCGGCAGTATCTTTAATCTGCTGGTGCGCCGTTTCGTGACGGCCGAAGAGGCCTCGGCCATGCGAGCGCAGACCCTAAAGAGCAGGTTGAGTGGGAAGCTCATTGCTCTCCGGGACCGAGTCAAGGGAAAGACGGCGAAGACGGAGTAGTTCGTGTATCTATTTTAGTTCGATTACCTTTTCAAAACACCCTATCTAAAACCAATCACCAGTTGAAGAGATTTCATGCATTCCATTTCATAATATCATAAACCCTAATAAATCCCATACACCCCACCGAAAAACAAACACTAAAGTACAACCCAGCGAACACAAATAACGCCACCCCTATCGGGCAGCCCAAGCCAACACCTCCCCCTCAACCCTCAATCAGAAGAAGAAGATTCACTCAGGGTAGAGACTAAACCCTCATCAGCGAGTCCCATCTATCATCTCACCTCCCCTCCCCCCCCCCTTCCCTCACTCCACCCCTCCATCCCTTGAAGGGAAAAGGAAAGCTTACAAACCCAACTTATCCTTCATCGTCTCCCAGCCCGGCAGCGTCCCGGACCCGCCGGGCTTGCGCTCCATGAAGCTGTGGTCCTCGGTCGCGCACGTCCCCTCCTGCAACCCCTGGCCCTCGTCGAACCGGCCCAGGAACTTCTGCTCCGCCGCCGACTTCTGGTCGCTGATGTCGCGGAATTCCGGGGCGGTGAGGACGTCGCTCTACGGTCGTTAGTCATCGCAGAACAGTATAGTGTATGAAATGGTAGGTCAAAGCTGGGGGACAGGGCAAAGGCGAGGGCAAAACGTACAGAAACACCGCCCTTGGGGTGGCCCGAGTCGCCCCAGCCGCTGCCGCCGCCGGCGTTGTTGGCGGGCGTGGGCTCGAGGGAGGCGCCGCCGCGGGTGGCTTGGGGCAGGCGGTTGGAGTTGGAGGCCATTTTTCCGTGGTGTTTTAGTGATTTAAGTGGGTGGGTGGGTGTGGTTGAGTTGGGTGTAGATGTGTAGGTGGGGAATGAAGCGTGTGGTTGTGCTGCTGTTGGAGCGTGGTTAGTTGTGGTTGCGATGGATGTATATAGTTGAGCGTTTGTGTGCGAACATGGTTTGCGGATGGAGAGAGGGGGCGGGTTAAGACTCACTAATTATGCAGTGATATCAGAAATGTAGGTTTAATCTGGGTCACTTCGAAATCTGCTGGAATGGGTTTATATACCCTACTCGTATCCCTCTGGTGGATGAATGAAGGGTTGGTGATCTCATCATGAACACACGTCATTTTCCGGGTTGCCACCCCCAAGTTTGGGGTCAGTCGCATTGACTTGCTTACCCCAAGCATTGGTGATCCCTGCCATGTACTATGTACTCGTAACACAATCAACTGTAGAAGTGATGTGGTTATCGATTTGGCTCTCATCTACTGATCCTACCATAGCTAATGCGGTGCACTCTGAATATACATACATCACGTCATAACTTATCAGCTATGGTATAACAAGAAAGGACAAAAGATAATACCTCTGGATCGCAGCCAACAGAAAGTGTAATCGGGGAATTATAATAAATGCATCAATCATGGAGGTCTTCAAAAATCCAAGAATCCACGGGAAAATAAAAATGTAGACCTAAACGGAGCATCACTGCGACTCGACTTCTTCAGCCCAAGAAGTCCCTTCCATCGGTGAAAGAGGGTCCACGTTGAGAAGGTCCAGGTTCACTGCAGTTGTTGCAGCATTGAGAGGTTCCTTTGGCTCCTTAGGCTCATGGGAGGAGTCCCTGACGACCTCCTTCTGAGTGTGCTTCTGTTCCTCCTTGACCCACTCTTTCGGGACGTCTTTCGAGGTATCCTTTCCGTTCTTTTCACTGCCAGGGAGCGCAGGGAAGTCTGCCTCATTGTCAAGCACCGGAGCAGGAGCCCACCTCGACTCGCCCAGGCCTGGCAGATTCTCAGCTGGGCCGTCCGTCTGGGGAATATCCTCCCGTGGGCCACGATGACCACCGCGACCACGTCCACCGCGACCCCCACGGCCTCGACCTCGATGGCCCCCTCGAGGACCGTCACCATGGGACTCCTCATGCACCTCACCACTAGGCTGGTCGCCAGGCTGACCTTCAAAGTCGCGTCTCGTATAGCCGGAAACACCACCGTGCATACCTCGACGGAAGCCCCCGCGCCCACCGCGCGGGTTGAAATCCTCCTCCTTCTTCTGAGCATCCCACTCCCGGCCCGCAAAGGCTTGCAACTTCCGCTGTCGGTTGCGTTCCCGCTCGTTATCCATGACCCGGCGCTGCACCCGTTCCTGGCGTCTCTTCTCCTCCGCAACCTTCTCCCTCTCAAGGAATGAGGCTTGGTCAGCTTCAGCCCGAGCGTGCGCCGCGGCCACCTTGGCAGCGTTTTCCTTCGCAGCCGCAATACGACGCGAGAGCTCTTCCTCTGTAAGTTTCGGCTACACAGATAAACACAAAACCATTAGCCCCACGCTTCAAGTCTACCATAGAGCCCCGCACGCCCGTAAAGAAAACATACCTTCTTAATGCCACCCGTAGCACTCCGATCCCCACGTACAGCAGGCACCCGCGGGCCCTCCGCTGCAGGCTTTTCACCCGCCGGTTGTTCTGTCTCCGCAGCCGCAGCTCCAGAGGCAGCCGGGGCAGTAGTAGTAGTCGTAGCCTCCTCCACGGGACTCTTGCTGCTATCCTCGCCGCCCTCCACAGGACTCTCCGCAGTAGTCTTATTGTTATGATGATTGTGATTATTTTTCACGTTCGAATCACCCCTCCGGCCAGAATTCTGCGACCCCCTCCGCCCACCCCGGCCCCCTCTGCCTCCCCGTCCCCTCCCCCGTCGCTCACCCCCGCGTGACCGCGACGGGGTGTCAGTCCGCGCAGGCGATGATACGTCTCTGTCGATAGTAGTTGATGCTGTTGCGGGCGCGATACTCGCTTCAAATGACTGCTGGTGGTCATCCGCCGGCGGGGAGTGTTGTTCTTGTTGTTCGTGCAGTTGCAGTTGTTGTTGTTGCTCTGCAGAGACGGGGATGATCTCATCGTCGAACAGGTCATCCCCTCCACGTGTTTGCGCGAACTCGTCCATGGCAGGGACGTCACTTACGGGCCTGTCGTTTTCGGTGCTTCGGATATGGTTATATGGCCAGCCGAAAGGCAAAATGGATGTAGATATTGTGTGTGTGTGTATGTGTGTATGTGATATATCGCACAGGCACGACGCAGAAAAGCTGAAGGGTGGACACAGGAAATGCGATCCGTGAAAGGTTGGAAAGGTCTCAGGCGGCTTGTGTGGTTCGAACCAAGGAGGGCGATTAATTAAGGCTAGCTAAACTATCAGCGCTAGTTCCGCGCGCGGACGCGGGGAAGAACAGTCAGCTTTCTGGTGCGGCACAGAGGGCAGCCGAGGGCAACGGCAGGAAAGGGTAGGGTGTTCAGAGCAATTGTGGACAATTCTGAGAAATCGATAGGAGATAGCTGGAACTGGGATGAAAAGTAGACGAACCACATGCCAACCAGTCAAGTTTATCTGCAGGGAAGCTCCAGTCCAGCCCAGCCCAACCGGACCGGACCCAAGCAAGCCATTGCGGCCGCGATTCCGACTGACTGCTAAGGCGGTCTGGGTTGGACTGGTTCGTGTCTGGATACAATCCTTATGGTGTGGAGGATGATGGAGGGATGAGGGTTCAATAAGAGGTAGTAGTACATACATAGATTAAGACGTAAGATGTAATCGAGTGATGAAAGAAGCGGTGATTCTCAAGAGAGTAGCCGTGAGCATGGAGCAGCAGCGAAGCCAAAGGAAGCGCGAGAGGGGAAACTGCTGCCTCTCACCGCCTCGTTCTGCCATGCACCAACCCAAATACGGACCGATGAGGGGAAAGGAAGTCACAACCTGGGAAAAATGATCTCATGCGGTTTCAGATCGTTCTTGTCCTACATCCTACTATGTACAAGGCTTCCGTAGTGTATGCGCTAACCAAAAATATCTCCCATTCTTTCATGACTTGCGTAACCCCCCAATATGCTATGCTGCAACTTCACGGTCTCTTCTTCCTCTCGTGTACTATACACACTGCCATGCATTTTCGTCTGTGTAATTCCCTGGGCCCTTGTATACATTGCGCCGGGGCCAGCGACAATGCTTGCGGGTATATTCCACTCCACTACCAACTCCATCAACAAACTTGGCTCCCCGCACAAACTCCGGCGCAATGCCCTTCTCCACCCACTGCACCATGGCCATGAGCACGTTGTTCTCCGGCGCAACGCCATTGAACGAATCGGCCACGTTCCCAATGCCATATGCGCCGTCACCGCCCCCACAGTGGCCCATACCACTGATTTGGAAGAAGCGATAAAACTCGTCCAGCTCTGCCGGCGGCAGGCTCATTGCCTCGGCCACTCGCGAGTAATACAGCTTGGAGTTTTCCGAGCTAATGATTTGGTCCATGAGCCCGTGGTAGGTCAGCACCTTGCCGCCGCTCTTGCGGAACGGGGTCAGGTCTGCATCCCAGGTTTGGATGTTGTACGGGTTCTGCTTGAGTGCCACGGCAATATCGTGTCTATTGAAGGTGGCTGGGTCCCAATCCGGGTTGCTGAAAACCACATAGCGGTACCAGTCGGTGCTGTAGGAGAAGGGCGAGCCACCGTAGTAGAGTGCGGAGGCACCAACCTCCGAGCCGGGTTGCATACGAGGGTAAACAAGGGTCCCGTTGAGCCCATAGAGTGGGGACAGGATCTGGCGGACCGTGTTTGCTTGGGCCCCGGTGAGACATTTGGTCGAGGAGGAACCGGGTTTGCAGATGATCGTGTCGATGATCGGGTGGCAGAGATCAGGATCTTCGATGATTCCATCGTGCGCGCCGTCGATATCGTCGCATTGACGTAAGATCTCATCATGGACAACACTCCAGAGCTCAGAGGAGAGGTAGCTGTCTGAGGTGTTGGTTCCGGTGATGGGGTAGAAGTGACCGCTCCAGGAGGTCAAGCCTACAAAATTCATGGCAGGAGCACCAGCCACAACACCATCAAAGTCATCGGGGAACTGCTGCACCGACTTGAAGCCCTCACGACCACCGGTGGAGCATCCCAGGTAGTAAGACTTGTTGAAACCTTGCTCGTAGAAAAGTTTGGTCAACTGCTTTCCAACCACAACCCCAGTGTGAACTGACCGATAAGCAAAATCTTCGACGACTTCTGGATGTTGATAAAAGGGTTCGCCAGACGTGCCATTGTGTCCGTTGTTGGCACCGACCGTCGCAAAGCCGAATCCGGTTGTGTACGCCATATCATCGTACCCGACACCTTAAGGAAATGTCAGACCTAAGAAAGAATCATGTAGGACGAGTAGAAGAGAGGTGACATACAGCCATTGAGCCCTCCATTGCCTGTGCTCAGGAACCGACCAGTGTAGTTCCGAGGCAGCCATGCCTCCAATGTGATTTCGCTGCTGTTTGAGGTCGCAACCGCCATAGCGACTCGACAAAAGTCGGCCGTCACAGCCTGATAGGTAGCGCCGCAAGTCGCGGGATTGTCTGGTATAGAGAGGTTGGTTCCTCCGGCCACATACTCCACAATGTTTACTCGCACGTTGGGTAGATCAATCTTGCTTGCAAACTTGGCACATTTGGTTTGAAAAGAATCTTGTCGAGTTGAAATGGCTGAGCCCAAAGCCAAGGAGGGCAGGAAAAGAGGTAGTGTTCTCATGTTGACGGACCTGTTTCTCAGCGCAACTGTTGTACGAGGGAGGATAGAATCATGGAGCCCTCGAGTAGAGGAGGAGCCCTTTTATAGCCCTTCTTGCTCGAAAACATTTCCACTTGCTTACTTCACCGTCTCCACCAGTGATGCCTATCAAGAGTGGAGATTGGGGCATCCAGAGCAGAGTCATCAGTCAAGCTTTGAGAATCCTCCGAGGTTGTACCGGGGTGAGAGGGATGCAGTGAATGGGAAGTGTTTGGAGGAGAGAAAGAGATAAATGCCGGCAGATGAGCGGAGCCGAAAGTGAAGCTAAATAAGTGCGAGACTGTGGTTGGGCCAGGGGCTTTCCCCAATACCCCACAGCCACTTTCCCGGGGATCGTCAACTTCTCCGCAAAATGCGGAGAAGAGGTTCGATGCCTTCCATTACCTTTAGGGCCCAAGGCCCTTGCCCCATTCTGGCTTAGAAGGAAGGATTTGGCTCCCTTTGGTTACCTGTCAGAAACACAGCTCTGTCTTACAATACAGCACCTGGAGAAAGCCGAGGCACGGAGACACATGCCCCTAAGAAACAGACCAGTCATCAGTTCGCATCCCATCACTTCTACCGAATTCAGTGCCGCCTCAATATCTATCACATACTCCATGCGTCATTTCTTTCAAGCAAGTCGAATCTGTTCACCGGAAACCGCACTGAGCGAAGGGGACAGGCAGCAGAATCAAAAGATGCAGCAAGCTAGAGGATCTGGTAGATCGGATTCTGAATACAGAAAGTTCAACGAAGCTTCGGAACCGCGAAGGAAAAGTTGGTTTCTTGGCCCCGGGTGCTTGTCGTGCACTCCAGGGTATATTCAACCGTCACTCCCAGCACGAAAGGAAACACCACCCGATAGGTTGTCCCGCCATGCAAATATTGAATCAAGAATAAGGAAACACATGATTAAGATGGATGTGAATGAAATAGAGTCAATGTCCACGCCGGAACAGAAAATTGACTAGAGATCAAGACCGTTAGTACGTCGGTATCCAGACTGCGGAGGATAGGGGGGCGTACAAATTACAGCGACTGCCCTTGAATGCTCTGTAACTACATTCCAGATCACGAGGCTACACCAGACTATATCACCCATCACTTTCAGTACGAGATCCAGCCCATACTTAGATCCCATCTGGTCAATTGCCTTGAGCATTTTCGCAGCTATGACGGCTGCTTTGTCAAGGTCAGCCAGCATGCCATTCAAGTGAATTTGTTGCTGCTGGTGTAATCGGGATGTTTCTTGTAGAGCTTCGTATTGCTGCAATTGTGCTTGATGCAGCTGTTCGGTTCGCTCTTCGGACTCATTAAGAGCCTTCTGAATGCCTGGCATGCGCTTTGGAAATCAGTCATGTTTCCTCGTCTTCTTGAAAGTTGTCGCAAACCTCATTTATGCTCTGCGCTATCTGCAGCATATATACCATTCGAGTCGAGAGCAGGTCCTACTACAGTTAGCTCACTGAAAGAATTTGATAATAAATACTCACCAGAGAAGCATCAAATTGCAAGAGTTTTGCCAAATTATCCTGGCAAAGTGCTCCTACGCTTTCGTCGTGAGCCAAGGCCGTCTCCCTGGTGGTCTCTAGCTCTCTCTGCTGCGCATCCGCCAATTCCTGGTCCCTCTTGGCAGACTCTTGGTGTAGAGCGTGTAGTGTGCGACCAAGCTTATCAGCTTCGGTAGCAACAGTCTGGAGTTTCTGGACAGATCATTAACCTTAGTATTAGTCATGTAAGCAAATGCAGACTCACGAATTCGAGGGTGTCTGTCTTTTGCTGCAGTGTGTCAATCGCAGGCCCAAGGGACCCCTTGAATGAGTCGACGGCATACGCGTACAGGCTGTGCAAAATCCGGTCCATCGTCGATTTCAAGCGCATATCGGTTTCTTCCAGTTCCTGTCTCATCCTGCTTCTCATGATACCGACCACTTGCATGAATTCCTTCTGACGGGCAAGGTCAGCTGCAGCGACCTCCAATGCCTCGTGGAGACCACGCTCCAGCTCGGCAGAGCTATTTAGTATAGATCGATAAAGCTCAAGGAGCTCCTCCTTCTCAGTTTCATCCCTGGCCGCCTGGCATATAACCACAGCATTTTGCCGACTGTTGCTATAGGAAGTCCACCACTGCGGCCGGGTCTCTAGCGACTGAAGGCAAGACTCCAACTGCGGCTTCTGAATGACCTCCGGAGCACGGAAGCGGATTCTATCCCCGAAAATAAATCCGAACTTGCCTCTTTTCTGCGGCGGCACAATCACCAATGAGGAACACGTGTCTGGCGCTGCTGCCTTAGCTTCTCGAAGCTCACAAATGGCAAGACGGGCTGCATAAAGCGAGCGCACGAGCTCCAGGTCCAAGTATATATCCGTGTCTTGTTTCTCGGTCCGACCCCCGATTGACTGACAGGAAGAGACGAGCTCTGATACCGCCAGCCGGTTGCAGGATGGAGCGAGCTTCATCGAATCAATGAGAAGGAGAGCTTCTTGTATAAGAGGCTTCTGCTTCGGCACTCTTGGAGTAAGGAGCGATGTAAGGTCGATCTCGTCCATAGCACGATTGTCGTTCCCTGCGAGAGCTGCTTGCATCGTTAGCGATTGCCGTGAGAGTGGCCACATAGAGACGTACCATTTTCCGGAAGCGCTGCTTCCACAAGACTGTTGAGGCTAAAGATAAATATGAGCACCAATTTAATGATATGCTGAGACATGATAGCGACGAAGGACAATGCAGTCAGCAGTTTCATGGTGGATATTAGTGTCGAGGATCCGTATGATTGTACCAGGGAGAAGTATGGAGTGAACAAAGACTATAGTAATGCAGTATAAAACGTAGAGAGATCAAGGTTTTGTAGGACTTAGGTCAATTGAAGCATAATGTAGCAGATTCGTCAAGTTGACACTCATGAGGTAAGCGAGTGAAAACGAGGAAGTAGGACAGGTGAAGCAGGAAAGTGAGGTTATTCCCATTCTCTGGGCTAGCCCATAAGTCAAACTCAGCTCAGCAGAGAAAAGACCCGTTTGGCTTACCACACAGCTCCAACATCACTTCATCACGAGTGCAGAACCGTAGTAGAAGCTGTAGAGAGACCTCACCCACCCCCGATCTATATACCCTCTCACGTGACCTATACTAACCGCATTAGGAAGACACGATCTCCGGACAAAATCCGTCCGCATCAAAAGAATCCCAGACTAGTCAATCAAAACACCAGTCGCAACCCACGCCGCCATGTCGAATCTTCTACCCCAGAGCTGCCTCCGGCAGTTTGCGCGGAGCTCCCTGAGAACGGGCGCTGCGTCTGCTCGTCCCGGCTCAGCCTTCACGCTCCCTCTCCTGACACAACCTTTCTCAACCACTTCCCCGACACAATCGCGGAAGGGCAGTGCCCCGATTACCATTCCCCCGGAGGTGTCTCTCAAGTTCATCGATCTCCCGGTTGTCTCCGTGAGAGGAGGCGCTGAGGAAGCTCCCAAGGTTGCAATTGAGGTGTCGGGCCCTCTGGGTGAGTCTTAGTCTTTCTGAACTTCCCCGGCGAGGAAACAACTCTTATGGTATTTCTAACAAGAAGTGAATGCTAGGTAAAATGACTCTGAAAGTCCCCCCCTTCGTCAACGTCGAACACGATGAAGCCCTCCGGAAGGCCACTCTCTCCGTTCAGGACCGGGAGATCAAACACCAGCGTGCCATGTGGGGTATGTGAATAAACCTCTTCTGCCCCGGAAATCCCTTCTCCGCGGGTTTTTGAGTGGTCCAACTGACTGGTCGATGACAATACCAGGAACCATGCGCTCGCATCTACAAAACTACGTCCTGGGAGTGTCGGAAGGTCACATCTGTATCCTGAGTATGGTCGGTGTCGGTTACAGAGCCACGATCGAGTCTCAGGCGACCACCGTTAAGTCCCAGTTCAAGGGCCAAAAGTTCGTCTCCCTGAAGGTTGGATACTCTCACCCGATTGAACTCCCCGTTCCGTGGGGAGTCAAGGCCAGCACGCCCCAGCCGACCCGTATCCTGCTCGAGAGTGTCAACAAGGAAGTCGTGACGCAGTTCGCGGCCGAGATCCGCGAATGGCGCAAGCCCGAGCCCTACAAGGGCAAGGGTATCTTCATCAACGGAGAGACCATCAGATTGAAGGCCAAGAAGATTCGGTGATCGGGGGGTCATTTATACCTTTGGGGGATTTTTCCTTTTATTTTCTTTCTGTATATGTATATCGGAGCATGGTTCTCTGGGTTCGCGACTGGTATTTTGAAATTTGTGTACTTTTAGACGCATCTAGCGTGGATATAGCTTGACAGTTTATGCAACCAACATGAAAAAACAAATCACAATCTATGCATAACAGGAAATTCGTAACCTCTTTTTTTTTCTTACAACTTCAGAACGACCTTCACGGCGTCGATGACCTGGTCGTGGATGGCCGCGGGGGCGGCGACGACACCCTTGTTGGCAGCCAAGGTCCGGCCCTTGCTGAAGTCCAATCTCTGACCGTAGATATCAGTCACTTGACCGCCCGCCTCGCGGACGATCAGGTCACCCGCGGCGTGATCCCAGATCTTCTCCTGGTAGTCCTTCTTCACCGGCAGGCGCAGGTAGATGTCACCGGCTCCTCTGGCGATGGAGCAGTACTTGGCCTGGGAGTCCAGACGCACACTGGGGGCGGTGATGCCCAGACGCTCGGCGACGGCGGCGTTGTCACCCTGGGCGGAGTGGGCGGCTTCGACGCCCTCGCAGAAAACGGCCTGGGCGATGTCAGGCACGGGGCGCATGGAGATCGACTTGCTCTCGGCGAGACCGGCGTTGGTCAGGGGTCTGCTGATGGCTCCGACACCCTGGATGGCGGAGAAAAGGACCCCGTTGCCGGCGCCGCTGGTCTGCTCCGCACCGATTCCGGCGGACAGAGTCTCAGAGTCGTTGACGGGCAAGTTGGGGCAGCCGATGGCTCCGACCTTGACATCACCGTCCTCGATCAGGCCCAGACAGACGGCGTACTGGCCGCCGCGCAGGAAACCCTTGGTGCCGTCGATGGGGTCCAGGGCCCAGACGCGACCCTTGGCGCCCCCAGCGCTCTTGCCCTCATCGATGATGTCCAGCATCGCTTCCTCGCTCGGCAAGGCGCCGCCCAAAAGGTTGTCGCTCTCGCTGTCCTCCAGCTTGATGTCCTTGACGAGTCTCCAGATCTCGGCGCTCAGCGCCTTGTCCTCGCGGAGCGTGCTGGCCTCCTCCTCGGCGACGATCTCATCGTTGGGGAAGTTCTTGCGAATGGCCTGGATGATCAGAGCCTGAGCTCCGAAGTCGCCGATGGTGACGGGAGACTTGTCATCCTTGGACACGGTTCCCTTGGCCTTCTCGTTGAAGACCTTCTGGGTGAGGAGAGTTGCGCGCTGAACGGCGAGTTCGGCGATGAAGCGTTCTTGTTGGTAGGCCATGGTCGCGGGTTGGGTATGAGGGATGGAGGAGGAATAGAAGTGAGGGAGAAGAGGAGAAAGTAGATGGTGGCGGGCTTTTAAGATGATGCTGACTCCAAGTAGCAGAGTGGAGCAGACGACGAGACGGGAGAAGATGGAGAGTCGCGGTTTGCGGATGGAGCTAGGATCTGCCGAATTCGGAGACCGAAGACCCATTCCAAACTCAAGCCAGAGGGGGTCAATTGGGGGATAATTACTGAGTAAGTGACTTTCTGTAGGTGGGCAATTGCTTCAATTCCTCCTCTACGTGTGTGGGTTGTGATTCTTGTGAATGGTCTATGTGTAGCTGTTTCAATAGAGATCCATGATGGGGATGAATGGGGATCAGGTGGAAATGCCCCTCCTCTCCTTTATCCAGGAATGGGGCAGTGAGTACGTAATTGGGTCTGCGCGGCATCGGAAAGAGGAGCCCCAGGCACGGATCAGGCAATAATAAGGCACTCGATTTTGACTTGTATTGTCTCTTTCCCCGCACTAGACCCAATGGGGCAACTGGCGAGGGGCACTACGAATCAGTCACGAGATTGCAAGTGCAACTGGCACTCTCTCTTCTCAAGTTTGTTGTTTATCAAACCACACATCCACCGCGCATGACGTTGGAGGCGCTCATTTGGTGTTCCTTCAACTGTTGTCACCCCTCGTGTGTGCATCTTTGCTTTGGGATCTTCCATCCGAAATTCAAATCCGTGACACACTCCACCCTTATCTGCGGGTTGGGCTGAGTACTGCACCCCAGACACTGTCTACACGTCACCGCTCTGCGGCTTTCTTGCGCTTCTCCTTAATATACCCTAGTCCATCCGAATTGGGATCTGCATAACGACTCTACAACAGCATTATAGGTGTACTGTACATCAAGTGTCTCCGCCTCAAAATCACCTCATCCCTCTCAACTTCAATTCGCAACCTTGTCTTTGCGCATGTGAAAGTACTCGCTACCGATTTACCGGTCCGCAGTACCCTCCCAAACCACACGACTTCTTAACGGCCGCATTTGCTCTTAAATACATCCTTAGACATCATGTTTCACTCCTCGGTAAGTCTATCTCAGATCCACGCGACGGGCCAATGCGGCTGTCGTCCGGACATCAGACCAGCACTTGAACAACCGTCTTTGCATTATTACATTTTACTGAACGTTGGACCTCCCATCAGTCCACCACAAGTGCTGATCACCTTGCTACTCTCATAGAAGCCATACACCGCCGTGACGGTGCAAATCGAAGTACTCACTAGCGAACAATACGATGTCGAAGACTCCAGCGGAATTGTCGACCTGATCGAAGCTATCCGCATACAAGCTAGTGGACCGCGGGAAGCCAGTCGTGCGCTGCGCAAGAAGCTGTCAGTCGAGCCAGCCTTTCCCCCTCCAATTCACTAACGCACCCCTGCAGCAAGTATGGCAATCTCCACCGCCAACTACGAGCCCTCACGATCCTCGATTTCTTGATACAGAACACCGGCGATCGGTTCCTGCGCGAATTCGCGGACGAGCCCTTGCTGGAACGGTTGCGCATCGCTGCCACCGACCCAGTCTCTGATCCCCTGGTCAAACAGAAATGCAAGCAGTTGTTCGGACAATGGGCCGCATCATACAAGGACACCCCCGGCATGGAGCGGGTGACGGCGCTCTATCGCCAGTTGCCCAAACGCAAGCAGCCGGCTACCCAGGCGAAGGCCAAAGTGCTGCGCGACTCGGCCACAACCGACGAGCCCGTCATGGGACATACGGTGTCGGTCTCCGCCGGCAACGGGCCCGCGACCGTCCTCAGCGGACCGAAACACAAGCACACATCCAGCCGTTCCTCGCGCAAGGAGAAGAAGGAGAAGAGGACGCTCAGCCGCAGTTTCAGCCTGGACAAGGAGAAGCCGGACATTTTGCAGACGCTGGCGTCCTCCTCGGTCGCCAGTACGAACCTTCTCAACGCGCTCAAGTTGGTCAACCGCGAGACACACCGGGTCAGCGAAGACGCAGAGGTTCTCAACCGGTTTGAGACCTGCAAGACGCTCCGGCGCCAGATCCTGCGGTACATCCAGCACGTCGAAAGCGAGGAGTACCTAGGCAGCCTAATCCATGCTAACGAGGAGCTCGTCACGGCGCTGATGGCCTTTGAGGTCCTGGACAAGAGCGTTGACTACGACAGTGACAGCGACCAAGACGTGATTGAGAGCGGCTGGACCCCGGACCGCGACGACCTCCCCGAGTCCTTCGCCGGGTTGACTGTCAACCCGCCTAAGCCTCCGCGTCCGCCCCGGCCGCTCAGCTTATCCGTGCCTTCCTCCTCGTCGAGACACAAGACGTACAGTGATAGTGAATCCGAGACTGACGAGGACGACGACGAGAACAATCCGTTTGGGGACCGGAATGAAATCCGGACCCCTGCGTATGAGAGAAGTGAACCTATCTGGTATGTACAAACATACACCTCCGAAGTCCATCAGCCTTCTGTTTACCCCTCGCAACATAACTAACCACCGTTGCAGGAAAGAAGTTTGAATGCTTGACGTGTTTGTTTATGTGAATGTGTGTTTATCAAAGACAGGACGGCGTTGCTCTATGTCCTTTCCGATGGCGCTCAGATTCCATGGCCTTCCATCCTTATTTTTTTATTTCTTGTGCACCTCAACTTGTTCATGACCCGAATGCTATTTCTATTATACTCTATATCGTTCATCAACGCCTCGAGACGGTCGTCTAGCCTGATTATTTTCTTGAAACTCGGGAATTACCCTCCTCCCAACGCGAGTTTGACTCTTAACCTCTTTTTGTCATCCATGCCTCACCTATTTCCGATCTTTGATCTCAAGAGATAGAAGTTCTCGAGAAAAGAATATTCTTACGATAACAAGCAATCGAAAGAGAAATTTTTGCATATTCCATGACCCATATAGATGCAGTGTGTTCAAGTATGCAAGACTATCTTACGGATCACAAGATTTCAAAAAGAATGCTAAGTTCAAATCCGACCCCGACACCCTGCTAGAACAAACTCCCCTCCCCTCCCCCCGTTGTTATTTCAGTGAAATTGTATGCAATATTTAAGAGACAATAAAGATTATGGGAAGGAATCACGCACAAAAGGTATTTCCCAGGTTGGGTCGGTTGGTTGGTCATCATCGTGATAAAGGCCAGTCTATATAAGTAATAACAATCACTCGGAACGCCAAGCAAAAAGTATGATACCGTTGAGGAAAGGAGAAGCAATAGGGTGTGAAGAGGGTATTATGAATAAATGGGGGTAGGGGTAATAGCACCGGGGGGGGGGAGGGGGGGGGAAGGCAACCTTGAAGCAAGTAATCGGGTGGTCCATTTGTGGGAGCGGATTCCCAGCCCTGTGATGGCTCCTGTGAGACCGGGTGGTGAGGATGAACCTGTGTGGATATTTGCAATGGTGTGGGAGGAGAATAATGATAGGTCGGAGGAGGAGATCGGGGCTAGAGCACCTTCGTCTTCATCCACTCACTCGTGCCCACGCCGAGGTTCAACCCGTTGCGCGCCCACCAGGTGCGCACGCGCTGCTCGGCGCCGGAGACCGGGTCGGCGTCCTCGAGCGCCTCCTCGATGTCGCAGGTCTTGAACTCGACGCGCAGGCCGCTGCGGCGCCACCACTCCAGGACGGCGTCGTGGCCGTTCTTGGTGGGGCCCACCAGGACCTGGCTGTCGAAGATCATCTTGGCGCCCTTGAGCCGGTGCCAGAATTCCAGGACGTGCACGTGGCCGTGGGTGCTGGCGATGCGGGCGACCGACTCGCCGTGCGTGTAGGGGATCCCCGAGGCGTCCCACCAGGCCAGGGAGGCGGTGCGGCCGGACTGGGCGGCCAGGAGCACGGATTTGCCGACCTTCAGCGGGATGCGGTTGCGGCGGCCACTGGCGAGGACGGGGTTTGAGGAGGCCGAAGGGGTGGAGGAGGCGCGCTTCCACCAGTCCAGCACGGCGACTTGGCCCTCGGCGCTGGCGGCCTCGAGGGCGCGCTCCGTGTACCGCAGTTCCAGGCCGGAGGTGCGCCACCACTCCAGCACGTTGACGAAGCCGGCCCGCGAGGCGCCGTCCATTGCATCGGTGGTGTAGTCTTTGTTCGGGAGGTCGGGGGCGTCGCGCCACCACGTCAGGAGGTTGGGGTTGCCGTAGATGGCCGAGGCACGGTAGGGAAGGACGCTGAGGAGAGAGGTCGTCCAGAGGAGGTCATGCTGTTTCTCAATGAGGTAGGAGAGGATGTCGGTTCGGGAGAATTTGAAGATGAGGTGAAGGGAGAGATCGGAGAGGGGTTTCCAGCGCGGGAGGCTGTCGATGCGCTTCTTGATCGCCGCGAAGGATCCTCGCAGGATGGTGTATTCGAGCGAGGCCGGTGTGGACATTTTCAGCAGGTGATTCTGCCATTCTTTGGGCACGGGGAGGTTCGTGGGGATGCCCACGGCCTTGGCGATCTCCCAGTCGTGTAGCTGGTCCTCGAAGATATTCAACCAGAGCTCCATCGGTAATGAGCGCGGGCCATGTTCGGTCTTATTCAGGCGATATAGCAGGTGTCGCGACATGGCTGAGGGCACATCCCCCGTCTGCGTCGTTTCTGGCGGTCCGCTCGAATTATCTGAAGGTTGGCCGGAAGTAGGATGTGTTTCCGAGAAAGATAGTTTCAGGGTCTGTTCAATCGTGTCGTGGAGAACCTTCAATCCATCCCAGGGCAATTGTATCAATTCTTCCGTATCTCCGGGCTTCCACAGCACCGGCGTGACGATCTTGATCCAGGACCAATACTGCCGCACCTCCCAGAGCTGCCGTTTGCTGAGCGGATGGCTCCATTCCGACACGGTCATGCCGGGGATGAGCACCACGGGTTTCGACGACATCCAGCCCCGGAGCAGCGCCAGCGTGAGGGTGTTGGTCAAGCCCGACAGCATGGAACCCAGCGCGCCCGCATCGATCGGCGCGACCAGGAGCATATCCGCCCAGTCGCACAGCTCCGCCGCCTTGGCCTTCAACCATTTCCGCGCGCCCGTTTTCTTCTCGAAGGTCTGGCTATCCACCGTATCCATGTAATGCGGGACCTTGCTGGCGCTCGAGAGCAGCGCCGAGGGCTCATCGGTGATCAATCGTAGTTCGATGTCCGGATTCCGCACCAAGGAGGGGAGTACGTTGTCGACGAATGCGCTATCAGTGGAGAGGAGTAAACGTTTTCGACGGCGGGTCGAAGGGCCAGCGAGATCTTTCATTTCATTATCTATGCAGGATCCGACCATACTTGTATGCGCAGTGACCATTTCCTCGCTCCTCGCAGAATCCACCTCCATTTCCGAGGACCAAGCAGCTTTCGAAACCACACTTGCAACCGTCGATGTCGTGGAGATGCTCGTCCCAACCCCGACTGCCATAACAATCCGATTCAACTAGGGCCAGGGTAAAGGGTGTCACAAAGGAGAGTTGGCCGACCGAGCCGGGGATGGTGTGTGGGTGGTATGGGGCCTTGCGCGCGGTATTATAGCTGAGTGAGTCCCCCCCCCGAGTCGTCCAAGCTAAAACAGGACCGTTAAGAACAAGGCTTGCCGGCAGGGATCGTCACCAAAGCAAATACCAACTCCCTGGTCAAGTTTTTTGTACCTGTCACTGTCAAGGATACGAATCGCAACCAGTGCAATGCAATCCTCGCGTTTGAAAAGAAGTGGAGAATAGGGCGGTAAAGATAAAGAGAGAGCCTGTAGCCGTGGCAGAGAGTGGACTGTCTGGTAGTGAGTTAATTGCAACCCAAGAAAGCCGTTCTCCTCCCAAATAATGTTGAACTACCGAGTACAAGCCATGTACAGTGAAGTCAATAGGCGGACCACGAAACAAGAGCACGTGTTGAACGACTGGTGGTCTGATCGGAGGAACTAAGCGGTGTGTTGGGGGAGGGAGAGTAGTAGAGTGGCCGAGCGGGACTAGCAGAATAATACGTAAATTCGCAGATGAAGGGAAGCTTGGGCGGGAATGCGGTAGGGCAGTCGTCGCCACGTCTTTCCGTTTGCTGCACGCCACCAGGTTGGGTGATGAGAGAGAGCAGCACTGTGAGGGGGTAAGGGAATAGAAAAAAAAAAAGAAGGGACTGTCACAACCAAAGCAAGGAGAGTGAAGAAAGAGCGGAGAGTCGAGTCGATGTGCCACTGACCGGCGATGCATGAGAAATGGAACCATTAATCATGGAGGGAGGGAGGGACAAATGGAACGAATGCCGTTGGAGAAAGCTGCAAAATGTGGGGCCTCAGGCCACCCGGCCACCCAATCCCGATGATGTATTCATGAGGTAGTCTTTTCCATTCTTTCTATCCATTCTACTGCTCTTCCACTAAGTACAGTACATACTTTGTATACGTTGTAATCTAGGGTCTACTCCTCGACTACAGTTCATCCCAACTTTAATCCTCATCCTCACGGCGAGAGAGATTCGAGTGCAACTTATGCTCCCGCATGCCCATGCTAACCAACGCGCCCAGCACCGCCAATCCGAGCAGTGTAAGGAATACCGCCCGTAGGGAGTCGATATACGCATCCAAGACCCCTGGGACCCAATCCGCGGGGAGACGGTGGATCTCATCCAGACTATCTCGGATCTTAGTGATCAACTCTCCCGCATGTTCCCGATCGCCAAATCGTCTCCATAGCCCCGACTTCAGAATGTTCTGGAAGACGGCGGAGGCCACTGTAATGCCAATCGTGCTACCCGTGCTGCGAAAGGCGTAAGATGCAGAGGTGATAACGGCATGATGTTCGTGGTCCACAGCAGAGATAAGTGCCACCAGGGTAAGAGTCAGCATACTGCCGTAAGCCGTGCCCATCAGAAAGAAGTAGATAAAAGGGAGCCATGCCGGAGTCGTGAGCGACAAAGTGCTGATCAGGATGGAAGCGATGACCAGAAGAGTCAGGGTGATGCGGACAAACACCTTGTACCGCCCGGTGGAGCGCATGAGAACGCCAGCCCCCAGCGAACCAATGGACGTTCCAATGGCTTGCGGGATCAACCGCACGCCGGCGGCGGTAGCGGAGAGGCCCTGAACCTGAAAGAACAAGGGCAAGTAGAACAAAAGCCCGAAGACGGTCATGGTGCTGAACCAATTGGTCAAGCAGGCGGAAAAGACCGTCCGGTCAAGAAGGAGCCGGACTGGGATGACCGGCTCCGACGCAATCTTGGCCTCAATATAGAGGAAGAGGGCAAAGGACACGGCGGCTAGCGGCAGCGAGACCAGGATGAGCGGGTGCGTCCATGGCACTTGGTTCCCACCCGTGTTGAGCCCGAGCAGAAACAAGACGAGCGTGGTGACCAAGGTCACCGCTCCGAGGAAGTCAACCCGTTTCAGTTTGGCATCGTCGGTGTTCTTGACTGGCACTTTTACCATGACAGTCACCAGAAGGCCCGAGACCACAATGAAGGGCACCTGGATCAGGAAAGCCCACCGCCATCCCAGCGTGTCGTTGATCCATCCGCCAAAGACACCACCCAGACCACTTCCAGCACCGTAGCAAATGTTACCAATGCCCTGCCAGATTCCTCGCTTCCGGAGCGGGACCAGGTCCGAATTGATGATGGTCGAGATGGCTGTCAGGCCACCTCCTCCAATGCCCGCAACGACACGACCCGCTATGATGGCACCTTCGCTTTTGGCGAGTCCACACATCAGCGTCCCCACGGCGAAGAAGACATTCGAGAATACCAGTCCTGCCCGACGAGAGAATATATCCGTCAGTCGACCGCTCAGCGGCTGAAAGGCGGCATTGGATATCAGGTAAGACGTGGCCAGCCACGATAGCAGGGACAAGGAGTGGAAGGACGAGGAGATCGGAGCGCTCAACGTTGCGACAATCGTGGTATCTAGTTACGTTAAGCTAGGAAAATGGCAGAGACATTGAAGAGAAAGTCACGTACCTAAGGCAGCAAGAAAGACGCCAACCCAGACACTTCCCATCACCAGGATCAGCTCCCTGGTGGTGGGTTCGTCGGCTAACGGAACCGGAGAGCCACCCGGCTGATTGAGATCATCTTGCCTTTGGTCCCCAAGAAGAGGGGTCCGCTCCGATACCGGCCTTGTGGACAGGATATCTGCTGCGGATTGACCAGGGGACATCTCTATATTGGTATCGAGGTCGATTCACTGTACCGCGACATCTGACAGCGCGGGAAGTTGAGAGGTACTCCAGATAGAGTGCAAGGATGACGATATCTCCCGCGCGGCATGGCGGCAGAGCGATCGGTGGTTGGTTAGTCAGCCATCTTTCATTTTGTTTCCGTTCACCAGACAACAAGTAAATAAATTGGGAACTTTCTTCACTCCAGAGATAAGAGCATAATTCGCAGACTTGAGAGATATCATGTCAAATGGATTTCCGGCATGGTAGCCTTCTACCGCTGTCCCAATCATCAGTCATTGAAACCTGTTTAGTCATGAGTTTTCTTCTGCTGCCGAAAGCCCTAAGCTACTTGCACCTGGAGCCTCTTACCCCTGACGGAATGAACGGAGTTGGCTATCGCTCTCGCGCATAGCCTATTTACGGACTAGACGGTTAGACCTATCAATCCGGCACCCATGCCAGCCGTCACTAGTCACTAGTGATCCAATAGATGACTTGATGACCTCAGGGTGTTGAGAAGGCCTTGAGAAGAACCAAGTGTGAGGACAGCGCGATCTTGAACCCAATGGCAGCACAGACATCGGATGAAACAAGATTCCATCGCTTCTCGCAGTTATTAAGCGATCTCCTCATGAGACGGACCCTTGCCAGTTGGACGGCCCAAGATGCATTTTACTCAGCCAGCCCGAAATGAAACGACTGCGATAGATGAAAAGTAAAAGATTGGAGGGGCCTCAAATGGACCCTGGGGAATTTTATCTTTGTTTTTCCTTTCGCTTCGCACCGCTATAAAAATCTACAAGGTCAAGAGGCTTGCATTGTAAACCTGGCTGTGGTCAATTTGTATCCATGTTTAGGGCAATTTCCGTGACTTCATATAGATGACCCCACCAGAGCAAGTGGTTTGGCTCAAATAGCTTCGAATAAGCGTATTATCAGGACCTTCCTTTAAGTAATAGTGGATCAGTAGCTCATTTGCTTCTATCATCATCGGTATACTAAGTCGTCAGATCCTTCGAGCAGCATTTCGAAAAGAAAATTCTGACAGGTTAGAGCTTTGTGTTCCCCCCCCTGAATTAAAACTCGTGTTCCCGTTTGGACCAGCAGTTTAGGAGGTTAGGGAGTATAGGCGATGGGGGTGAGAGTTAGGGTTTCCCGAAATCGCAACAACTCATCTCCGGTCAACAACAAGCTGGGACGGGCGATTAAGGAATCATTTATTTTAACAACGGACCTACACCAACGGTGCAAAGGAAGCCACCATGGCAGAAAGAGAATAGTAGGGCCAAGATCGACTGGTTCGTTGTCAATAGATAGATGATGGGGTGACTCGTCGTCCGTTCTCGAACCACAAGAAGTCGTCCACCAGCTCGACTTTCAAACGGAGCACTACCAAGATTAGTCAATTGGTCCATGTCAAATCGTTTCCCTTTTATTCTCCCCTGATGGGCACGGTGGACCTGAAACAGGCGCCTGCGGGGTCATGACGGTGGAAAATGAAGCTTGCAGCGAGAAAAAAAGGAGTCAAAAGGGACGTGGTGGTGCTAATGAAAAAGAAAAAGAAAGGAGGCAGCAATAGCTAGGCAAATTTACGGAATAGACAGGCGAGCGATCATCACCATCAGGACCGTGCCCCCGTCACGTGGAATACAAATACCTACTGGGAGTTGCGAAGTCATTGTCTGCTTTGTTCTTTGTTCTCTGTTCTCTAACCTCAGTCACTCTTTTAACCACATCCTCAACAACTTCATCGTCGTGATCTTTAGCCGGTGACTTGCCAGGCTTCAACTACTCGCTCCTCTTTTACCATCAGTTACCTCTACCTAATATTTCCATAATATTCACAATGGGTTAGTGCCATTGCCTGTTGTTATCTGAACTGATGAGAAGAAGATTAGCTAACGTAGAATGCAGCGCCGGCTTTCATTGCTAAGCTGAAGACCAAGCTCAAGTCTATCTTCAAGAAGAAGAAGACCGACCAAGAAAACCCCGAAGCTACTCCTGCTGCTGATGCTGCTGCTGCGGAGCCCCAGGCTGGTGCGTAAAGAGATCATGAATGACTTATGGGAGCCCTAATGGCTAATGATACCAGATGTCCCCGTTGAGACCCCCGCTGAGGGAGCGAAGCCGGAGCCTACTGAGCCTGTGACATCCTCAACTGCTCCGGTTCTGGAACTGAACACGGGCGCACCCGCAGAAACCGTGGCGGAGGACCACGCCGCGGAGAAGAAGGCCGAGGCTGCTGCTGAAGCTGCTGCGGACAAGCCTGCCGAGACTGTTGGGCAAGCGAAGGGTAAGCCAGCCATAACCCGACGACGAGGCCTTGACTAACAGCCTGCGTCTAGCCGAAGAGTCCAAGTAACCGAACTCATGGCGATAAGCGATGCGTCGTGATCTCCACGCGTCTTCCATTCTTTTACCCTCGAATTCCTTAATACCTTGCATCTCATACCCAGCATTGACTGCTACCGATTTTCCTTGTGCTCTGTGGCCGATACCATCTTCTCAAAATACCCTATCTTGTTTCTGTTAGCTTGGCATCCTTCCATACCGTTTTAATCGTCTGAACCGAACTCAGAATAGACCGACATGTGCCGATTTAGTCGGTCGCAGTAGAAGTGTAAAATCCGTAGAAGAAGATAATTGTTGGAACATGATATCGGCACGGGTATCATAGGCTAAGAATGAATGGAAGACATAATACACTTTCGAAGGGCCTCAGTCACTTCCTCCATCCGAGGAAGCACCATCATCCATCCCAGCAGGTTGTGCAGCTTGACCTTGGGCGGTGCCAGCGGCAGCGGCGGCAGCTGCTGCAGCGGTCTTTTGTTCTCTGGCCTTTTGTCTCCGCTTGAGCTTCTGCTCGCGATTCTTGCGGTTGCGTTTCTCCGCTTTACGTTTCTCTTCCTCTTCCTGCCGCTTCTTCGCTTCATCCTTGGCCGAACGGCGTTTCCGCAGCTGGATGCGCCGCTTCTTTCCGGGCTTCTTGCTCGAAACCGGGACCCTCTCGGGCGGATCGACCACACAAGTCGTCGTCTGGGTGTCGATATCACCTGCACTCTTTGATCCCTTCGCCGTCTTCTCACTCTTCAAGTGAACCACCTTCCAGGGAAGATAACAACCAGGCTTCAAAAAGCACAGTTAGCAAGCGTGCTCCCCACGTCACAGTGCTCAAGAGAAAAGAGGTTGGACACTTACCCACGGCACCTGAGCGAACCCCAGCATCTGAAGCCCAGATACTGCCACCTCCTCAAACTGTTGCCTCTTAGCTCTGAGAATCTCCTCCTCCTGGCTGTCCGCCTTTCCCCCCGTCATCGACCCCGGCGCGGTGAAGTAGTGCCCATACCCACGGAAGGGATTCACCAAGCGACCATCCTCAAGACCTCCAGCCCCAGGAGATGGAGACCGGACCCGGATTCGTAGTTTCTGCGCCACCCCCGCCGCTGCGGCGGGGTCCGTCCCCTTGTTCTCGTTTGCGTCCTTGCCGTCCGACGTCGCACCAGCCAAGGGTTTCGTGGCTGTCGACGGGGCAGGAGCACTGAACAACCGAAATTCGAACTCTTGCTCCTCTTCATCCGCGTTGTGCTCGTTGTCCTGTGGTTGGGTGGGTTCAGGGGCGGCGTATGCGGGTGCGATCAGGGCGTCGAGATTGAGCAATGCCCCAAGGCGCTGCTGGACATCTGGAAGCGCGGATTCCGGGGGCGGCGATGCGGGAGGAGATTCTGAGTCTCTGGAGAGTAGCTCATCGCGTCGAACGCTGATACGGGAGCTCTGTTAGTGGGGTTGTGGATTGGAGGGCACTGAAAAACCGCAGGTCGTGACATCGGGCATACCGTTTCGCCATGGGAAGGTCAAACATGGTGTCGGTTTCGGGACGCGGTCACCAGTCGAATAAGAGAAATAAGCAAGCCAATGCTTTCTTTAGAAGGAGGATCGATGGCGTTACAGATCGGTTTATCTGCGCTGCGGGCTGGTGGTGACGGTGACTCGTTGCCGGTTGGTTGATTGCGGTCTGGCGGTGGAAATGAAAATTGTCGGTCGTCGGCCACGGACAGCTTTATTTCCACGGGTGGTTTTCTGGTGCGGCCACGGCCCCGGAGCATTGGTTGTATGCATTGCGCTTGTTCAACCCATCAGCCTGAGAGATGTATTGGGCATGTCTGATTGTTGATTTCAGGAATTGATTGGACTGGAGATCTGCCTCCAATCTTGTTTCTATGAGTATCTTTGTTTGCATCAATTGATTGTTCATTTTTATGCCTCCAAATTGGCCGCATGAGAGAGCAATAGCTTACAAAAAAAGACTGCTGGAACGGATGCCATTACAGTCGACTTTCGATAGCTATGTTGTGCTGAGTGACACTCTACACGACTACTGGTACAATTACATCTAGATTCCTCTAAGTTACCTACTCTTACGTTGAGGAGGGAGTATTCACTGTGCTGCTACTGTGTACTGTAGGAGTTAAGTGGCTGGATGGTGCGCTAGCTCCACGCACGGGCCACATGTGTCGGACTGATTAGGCATAGAAGGAAGAGCGCCAGATGCCCGCCAGCCCGTGGCATTCGTGAGGTTCCCGGATAACTTACTCCACCGACGGACGCCTCACTCACTATCTCGACTTCTACAACCACCAGCTCCATCCACCACCCACACACAACCCCTCCTTCACCTTCAGTATCACCGCCTGGTGCGCTCCTGTACATTTCACTCCGCCAACCAACCTTCTTTTGAATTGAGACCGTCTCTCGTTTGCCAGCTCGCTCTATCGCCCAGTTCCAATCCGTGTTATCTCTCATCACCAGCCAACGTCACACCACATCCAGAAACAAGATCCTTTCCTCTCGCCTTGACTAGATTACACCATCACCAGAGCCAACCTACCATAAATAATCAGAATGGGTATTTGCGCCTCATGTCTGGGGCGTAGTCCTCCAGAAAGCCAGGATGTAAGCTTCTCATACCCCCCTTCAATTCCATGTCTTCTCCTTAGCAAGACATTGCGCCGAAAGCTCGCCGCGCAAGTCCTTTTTCTTTTCAGGACAACATCCAAAGTAAGCCCCACTAATTCAATCTGCAAAACTCATAGGGCGAATCCTCCCGCCTCCTCGAAGAAGACATCTACAACCAACCCGGCTACGGCTACGGATCCCTCAACAACGCCAGCCCCGGTAACCACCCGGATCCGGGCTACCTGAAGCGCGAACGAGAAGCATTAGAAGCTATCTGCCAAAGAGCCTCGGAGTAAGCGCAACCCGCAGCTTTCCCCCCGATCACAATTGATTTGGTGCGAGCGCGCGAGCGAGCGAACCTGAATTACTGACTGGAAATCTACAGCTCCGTTATCGACATCTGGTCAATCCAACCCCAGCCCCATCTCCAACCGCATGCGACCCTCCCCAGCGCCGTCGTCGCCCCCTCCACCTCGACCTCCGAAGCCCCTCCGCCCGTCAAGGTCACGAAAACGGACACGACCCCCCCGCGCGCGCCGCGCCGATCCGCCGCATCGCCGAAACCCGGCGGGACGGTCCCGAAGCATTGGGGGGAGGTGGTGATCAACACGCGCAAGAACCGGTCGCGACCCGGTTCGAGCACGGATGAGGACGGGTCGAGGGATGTCTTTGGGGTGTTGAAAGTGACCTAACCTCGGAGAGGAAATCGATGAAAAGTAAACCCAGACTGCGGCGGGGAAAGGCAGGGAGGAGGAGCAGAAGCGCACGGACGTGTTTCTGTCCGAGCTGAAGAGCAGTAACAGCGAACGAGCAACACTGCGCCAGCTCTTTGCGAGCCGTTGCTGAAAAAGACATAAGCAGCTTGACTCCAAAAGGAGGGTCGCCAAAGATACTTTTCCTCATCGGTCGATAATCCTCTCTCTCTCTCTCTGCCTTCCTCATACGCATTCTCAAACTCATCTTGCATTTATCATGGGTCGCCGGGCGACGACGGGCGTTTTATTGTCAATCTTTCTGATCTTCCGTTCTCTTGCCCCCCTTCTTTGGAGCCTTCATATCTACCTTTTTTCTTCTTCTTTGCCGTCATCTTCTGATGGTAGATTACCATGTTGAATCTTTCCTTTCCCCCCCCCCCCCTTTCCATAATACCCTGGCTTAGCCTGTGTCCTTCCTCTTCATTTCATCCCTCTCTTTGAATGTCGGATTTCTTTTTTTCTGCTCTGTGGTTGTCATCTTCCTCTCGACTTTGGTCTCTCTGTGGTGTGATGAACGCATGAGCTGTTTTTGCTACTCTATTTCTATGTAGTAAGATTGTTGCCCCGGCTACTTCGGACTGGGGCGCACTTCGATACCATATCAATTGAGATCTATGACATAGCCATTTGTTGCTTGTGCCACTGTGCAATAGACTGTACCAATAGGCATGACATTCTTGTTTTTATTATACAGCTCCATGAAGTTTGGAATTTTCTGTATTATCTCGAGAAAACACGGAGTGTCGGGAAGGATAGAGACAGATGGGCCGTCACTGGTAGGTAGGTAGGTAATAGTACACCTAAGCTGAGCACCTTGACAAAACCAGCTCCAACCCATCCTAAGCATCCCCAACAACATCCTCATGACGAGGAACAAAGACATTCCAATTGCACCAGTGGACTTCAGCAGAGAGGGAAAACAAAATAAAATGAAAAACTCCGCCATGGAACGCCTTCCAGCCTGACACCGGCATGATCTCACTTGATAAGATAATGAAAATAAATCGCAAATCGGGAAAAGAAAAGCAGAAGATAGAGGCGGAGAAGTAAAAGGATGAGACAATGCCAATGCGATATAGATGGGAGTATAATGTCCAAATCAGGAGCAGAGAAACGAGAGGAAAGAAGGTGACTGAAATCAGTCTAGATGCAAGGGCACGCATGGTTGCGAAGGAGAAAAGCGGACGATCGGTACAGTACCTCTAAACATCATCCATCGTACCGGCCGGCTCCTCGCCATCGGATTCATAGCTTCCGGCCGAGCTCAGCTCGTCGTCCGACTCGGTGTCTTCGCCGGCTTCGTCGACGGCTTCTTTGCTGGCGTACTTGGCGACATACTCTGTTAGATATGGGTTAGTTTGTTTGTGAGACTGACCGGGGGTGGAGGAATATATCCCCTTACCTTTCACTTTTGCGTCGTAGGTCTTAGGCTCGCGCATGAGCATGGCTGCTGCTTCGCCGTTGAGAGGGTCGGACGGGTTGGGGTAGCGGAGGAGCTGAGGGAGGAAGACCTCGAAGATGTTGATCATGTCGTACATGGGGGACCAGGTCTGGTTGATGACGTCGAGGCAGACAGAGCCGGAGCTGGGGGAAGAGAAACCAAAGGTGAGTTGGGGCAGGTTATGGGGAAAATCAGACGGTTGGGGGAAAACGGTACATACAGCTCATCGATGTTCGGGTGAAAGATCCGGTTGACAAACCCGATGCTGGGGCTCTTGTATGGGTATTGATCGGGGAGTTCGACGTGGATCTTCCAGTGGCCACCAGCGAATGGAGCTTGAATTTGGTTAACAAACTCGACTGGGATTGAACCGTGGAATGCGAGACCACTCACTTTCCTCAGGGCCCTTGAAGCGGACGTAGAATTCTTGCCTGGTGGTAGATTAATAAGTCACGAATCTCGACTGCGAACCCGTGGGCAATGAGACGTACACTAAATCGATCGTTAGCAAATGCAAGGCAGCTTGGTCCAGAAGGGCAGCAGCGTACTGTTATCATTGACCAGAGTCACCTCATAGTCACTCATCAACCTAGTTGTTCATCAGCATGATGCCTATGTATTCCATCCCGCTCGAATGTCATCGTGATTCCTATCTCCATCGGCGGCGTAGGTACAAGGGGACGGCGTAAACCGGGGCGCATACATCCTGTGACCCATTAGTTAGCTATCATGCGATCGCGAGACACTTATGGCGTAGCATACTTCATAACCTGTCAAAGAACACCAACGTCAGCATCTCCGCCACTCTCGTGACAGGTACGGAAGGAGGAGACTCACATCGGTCTCGATTCTCCGCTTGGGGCTGCTCATTTTGACGGATTGAGGGATTTGAAACTTCCGTGGGTGATCGTTTCAATATGGAGGTAAGGAAGTCGGGTCTCGGTAAGACCAAGCGACGAAAAATGTCGGGTTGGAGGTTGAGGTCTTCCCCAAGGTCGAAGCGGGGAAGCAATGAGCGGGGCGAATCTGGGTAGCGATAGGGCAGATGTAAAGGGCCAAGGCGCTGAAGTCTTGAATCTGGTTGCAGAGAACGCAAATACCAAGTTAGAGGTAGAGAGAGGCAAGTTGTTCAGAGAGTCAGGGAGGGTGAGAAAGAAAGAGAGTATGAGGGAATAAAAGAAGAGGAAGCGGGAGGAGAAAGGGAAGTAGAAGTAGTACAAGAGGAGCGAAAGATGGATGGGGATGAGGTGACGGAACCGTAGTCTAGTTTGACGGGTCAGGCCCGGCAGTCACTCAGTCAGTTACTCACTGTTAGGAGGCGGTCAGGCGCTGGGTTCCCTTTCCCGGTTCCATGGATACCTGGGATAGGAGGGGGAATCACTGTACTGACTGCACTCCGTACCGTACTCCATACTCCGTACAACTACGCTATGCTACACTACAACAATTCCTCATTCTTTCAGCCCGCCAGCTATCTACTGCACATCATCCTGGCATCTGCACAGTGGCCCAAGGACTAAATCTTCCAAGATCAGTTAAACCCAACTCTAAGCCGGCAATCCTGCTTATCATTGGCCCAAGATCAGGAGCATACGGATGGGTATCGGCCTTAGGTGTCAACTGGGCTGGCTGTCATCTGCTCTGCCTCGACAAACGCAATCCATTGAGGTATGCAAATAATTGAACTAGATATCAATATCATTACCACCACCACCACCCATCAACATAACTCCTTTTCTAGGGAAGGCTATCGCCACACCTTCGAGTGCTATCTCGCAGAACATAGAGAGGGATTTTTTTTTTCAATCCGCCTCCACGAAATCAACATGGACTCCCCTTCCCCCTCTCTCCACGGCTCCTCAGCCCGCAACTCCCCCAACCCCGATCAAACCAGCCTCCCTCACAGACCAGCCAAGCGCACGCAATCATCCGACTCCTCCGCGTCCACTGCGCAACATACCCCCATCCCCGACGACAAGCATGGCGCCGATCTACCGATGAATCTGTCCGCCTCCGTGGTGTTGACCAGTCTGCCCCGCGATGCGCATCAAGCATTGGCGGATGCCGAAGCCGTAGACAAGGGCAAAGGCAAGTACAGTGCTCGTCGTATATGCCCATCTAGCAAGCATCACGCCTCAGCTTCCCCAACCTCCCAAGCCGTGAAATCTACTTTGCAATATCAGCGGTCACCGACCCGATCGATCGGTCCCACAAGCCAAATCGCCCATCGCCCACCTTTGGCCTACCGTAGAACTTATTGAACTAACCAACCAAACCCATCCCGCAGTCACGGTCCGATTTCAACCTCTCCCCTCGGCCCCGATTCTCAAAACCCGGGTCTTCAAGGTCAGCGCTTCGCAGAAGTTCGAGACCGTCGTCAACTTCCTCAGAAAGCGGCTGGACTGCAAGGAAACCGACTCAGTCTTCTGCTACGTCAATAGCGTCTTTGCGCCGGGGTTGGATGAAGGGATTGGGGGGTTATGGCGGGTAAGTCTTCCTTTCTGGAGATGTCGCGATGATAGGGCCCTTGAACTCTTATCTTTTCGTCTAGTGTTTCAAGACGGACGAGCAGCTCATTGTTGCGTATTCCATGACTCCTGCTTTTGGATGACAGACATATCCGGAGTCTAGTTTGATGTTGAAGGAGTGAAGGAGTACGTACTGCATGTCTACTTACACGTTTTGTCCGCTGAACAACACGACTAACAGCACGCCAACTGAGCTTAAAGGCACGATAATCTTGACGATATTATGAATAGAATCTCCTATGGGAGGATGATTATGGGAACATGGAAATGAAAAGGTATCTATACAAAAGTAGACTTGCGTGCATCAACAAGCGACAGGGAACCCCACCGGGGTATGCAAGGGAATGGGAATAGAACCGCGCCAGTGAATCCGATTGATCAACGTTTCTGGTTGTCCTGGCCCTCTTCGACGATCCTCTCGAATTCCGCCAGCTCCTCCTTCGGGATAGCATAGGTGTACTCCTCCGACGGGTAGGCGCGGCTCTTGACCTCGTCGCGATACTGCTCAATGCCCTTGATGGCCTCGCCCCAGACATCGGCGTACTTCTTGACGAACTTGGGGAGGAAGCGGCCCGGCGGGAAGTTGCCGGTCATGTCAATCTGCACCAGCACCTGGCCGGAGCAGCCGTTGCCGGCGCCGATGCCGATAGTCGGCACGCGCAGCTTCTGAGTGACGATGGCGGCGATCTCCGCGGGCACCGCCTCGACGACTATCATGAACGCGCCGGCCTCCTGCACCGCCCGCGCGTCGCGCAGCAGCCGCAGCGCGCCCGCCGTCGACTTGCCCTGCACGCGAAACCCGCCCAGCGAGTGCTGCCGCTGCGGCGTGAGCCCGACGTGCCCGACCACGGGGATCCCCGCCTGCGTGATGCGCTGGATCGTCGGCGCCATCTCCTCCCCGCCTTCGATCTTGACCCCCTGCACCCGCCCTTCCTTGACGATGCGGATCGCCGACTGCAACGCCTGCTCCGGGGAGACCTCATAGGAGCCCATCGGCAAATCAGCCACCTATCCCCACGCAAAGGACATTAGCTCATAGATCTAACCAACCTCCCTGCACTTGCTCCCTCCACTTTCTCAGATGCTTCATTCTCCCTTCACATCCAGTAAAGTAAAAGTGAGGACGTACCGTAAAAGCCCCCTTCACCGCCCGCGCCACACTTCGACAATGCAGCAGCATCTCCTCCATGACAATCTCGCTCGTGTCCTCCATCCCCAGCGCCACCATCGCCAAACTATCCCCGACCAGCACCATGTCCATCCCCGCCGCCTCGGCCACGTGGCCCGACGGGAAATCATGCGCCGTCAGCATCGTGATCGGCTCCCCGCGCTTGTACATGCCCCGCAGCGTCTGCAGGGTCACCTTCTTCCGGGCCGGGGCCGCGCTCGCCGCGCCCAGCGGGGAGTGCGAGCTGTGTCGGATTTGGTTCCGTGGTAACCCATGTCGCGAGGAGAGGTGGGTTTGTGTGAGGGTCGCGGCGCGGGAGAGGACGGGGAGTGTTGGTGTAGTCGTCGTAATGGGGCGGGAGAGAGAGCCGCAGACAGAAGAAGGGAATGACCGGCGGATTGGAAGGAGGAGGAGAGCCGAGGGGGTCCTTGACGATGCCATTGCTTCTCTTTGGTGTATTGTACAACCGAGCGAGAAAAAAAGTTGAAGGTGAGGTGAATTGGGAGTAGGAAGTGAGAGGACGAGAGCTCAGTGGATTTTCCCCGCAGCACCAATCCACCAGTCCAGAAAGCCCAGGGTATTTCAGTAATCAGTCAGATGAGAGAGGCGAAATCTGACACAAAATAGAATAACAGAGATCCGAATGCGGCAAACGGAGTCGGATCGAAGTAGTGTGAAAAGTACTGTGTAAGGCGAGTGGTGTGACGTCGTCGCAAATGATCTCTTTTTTTTTTTCTTGCCTTCCGGCGGGCCAAAATGTTTAAGGTACTTCCGTATAGTAATTAGTGTACCAGATAGACCAACGGAGCTTGAACGGCAAAGCTACCCCAGATACCTCGAGCCAAATTTCCGAGAAAAAAAAAATCGAGTTTGTAGGTAGCTAAGGAGCTTATACAAAGTATGATCATAAACAATTATTTCCCGCAGACTGCCGGTAAGTTCAGTCTTTATACCACCGACCCTATGTAAGCTGTGCTGGTATATGCGGCGTAGTCCCGAGCATCAAGGTCCCGCCCAGTGATTCCGAGGTCCCGAGGCGTAACAACAGTACTGTCCAGTGTACACCGCTTGGCTAGTTTCGATATACTGTACACTGTACAATCTACTGTACAGCGTGAACCTAAGACTCAAGCCGCAGATGGACTGGTTTCTACGGCGTAGATTGTTGATTGTTGAGAAAGTGACTGGGTCGCGTGCTGGTATATGCGGCGTAGTTGAAGTACTCCTCCAGCTTTCTTGCCTCTTAGTTCCCTTTTGTCCGATTCTGCCGGTCTCAATGTGCCGTGTCGGGGCGCTCGGTGGGTTGCCACTGAGATTAATTGGTCGGATAGGGAGGCGGTGGCTTCTCCGCCGGGGGTTTGGCTTGTTCCGGTGCCGATGAGGGGTGAAGCAAATGGGCCGAGGCATTTTGTGAAGGTTCCGGGGTGGTATGACAGGACCAGGACTGCCTCAACAGTTGGGAGTTGACAGAGTCAGTCATCCTATGTTGGCAGTGGACAGTAGAAGAAAACTACAGGCTATATGCTACCACTAAAGTCCTAAATACGTGTTAAACCCCGAGTAATTCATTATGTATTCCATTCCTATGTAAATTGTGGATAAGAGCTGCTAACCAGCTTACTAGCCCTACTTACTATAATAGAAAACGTACCAAGCTATCTAGGTAGCCAGTCAAGCCTAGGTCCAGTCCATCCCTCAGGGACCTAGCAATAGCCACAGCAGAAGGGAACGGACAGCAAGAAAGAGATAGACACAGACAACCACCGAACGTAAATGCGAAACATCAAGCATCAACACCAATCCAGAAATGCAGCCCCTTGTATGCAACCCCCATGAAACACATCAACCCATGATTGAACTGAGAATAGAAAACAAAAGTAGAAGAGTAGATGACCGGAGGCAAGCGCAAAAGATGGCCAAGTAAGAGGACGAAAACAGACGACGTTGTCTATCCCATTGCATTCAGATGTCATCGCGAATCTTATCACTGAGGTCGGAAAGCTCGCTTCCTACAGCTGAAGCGTGACCGCATGCATGATTGCAAGACAACGCCCTGCAGCCCGCACAGCCTCGTGTCTGATCCCCTGCTTCCCTGACTTAAGCTGCCACGTGGGACATTCCAAGCGAAGAACTTCCACCGCTGTCAGGGGCCGTTCCATGCACATGCGCTTGCCTCGTAAGTCAAGGACGGACAGCACGAAACACTGCCAAAACCCAAAGACGCCAGGCGTCAATGAACATGCTGGCTGGGGATGTGCATAGCAATAAACAAAATAAGAAATATAAGAAGGAAGAAGGAAGGGCAGCTCTGAATATTATAGACAACGCTAATACATCATCAGCTGACGATGAGGGGGCCTGCTCGGAACCGCATGCAGAGGTGTATGTGTGTCATTCGACGGAAGGAAAAGGTGCTAAGGCCCTTCGTATGTTATCTCTTGCTGAGCATTGGGGAAGCAACACGGCGACTCATGAGATGATTCGAGGAATGCGATATATTGTACTTATCATATAGCCACCTTTTTTACTGTTTTCTCGTGCCAGACCATTACAAAGCAAGCTTAGGCTTGAGGGGTCTCTCCAGCTGGATGAGCAAGGAATCCAGTTCAGCCCAGTTAGCTCTGTTGATAGCGAATTTGCGGTGCTTTCGAGTCATGATGTGCTAAATAGCGGTCAGTTGCTATCTTCCAACACGGTTCGGGAGGTCTTACCTCATCAAAGTCATCGAATTTATCCCGGCAGTTTTCGCAATAACCTGGCTTGGGGTCTCTCCGTCGCTCCTTTTTCTTCGGAGTAGTCCCCTTTCGGATACTTGCGAGTCGCTTGAGTGCCTCGGTGCCCTCTAACTGCGCCGTCTCTTCCTCAAACACATTCACAGCTTTCTCCGTGTGGCTTAGATTACTCGGTCGATTCTCATGGGTTCTCAGCTTCAGATTCGTGTTGATGTTCGTGGTTTGGTGCGATAATGGCACCGTGCCAGCGGCAATTACCCCGTTCCCTTTCTCGAGTACCTTCCGCTTCAATTCATGGACTTCCTTGCTCAAGCCAGCCTTAGCCCCGGGTGCAGCGGCAGTCGAAGAAACCATTTGGGAGCGGATGGCAGAGGTGATGTTCGAGGGCTGCACCCCTGACGCTGCAGGTTCACGGCCATGGAAGAATGGACCCGTGCGCTGCATTGGAGGTGGGCAGAAACTCTCCGGGCTCTTCCTAGGCGACGGTGGTCTAGCTGGCTGCATCTCCTGCATCTCAGGCTGGTTTGGTTGGCAAATGACCTCTGCGGGGCTATATTCCGGTGTTGCCTCCTCAACATCATCTGGGGTCTTGGTGATCTCCGGCACATTCAATTTCGCATCTCGGGTTTCTTGGACGGGGACAGGTTTTGGCACCGGCTTCTTCTCCTTCTCGCGTTGACGGGCACGTTGTCGGTCCAGCTCCTTCTTTGTAGGCGGCTCGTCGATGAACGGACACTTGCCCAGGGGTGCACTTCTGAACTGCGGCCAGGTCCCATCTTGCCGTCTGACAACCCTGGCGTACTCACGGACCATGACAGGCCGGGTCTTTTCATCCATGTCATGAACGTAGATAAAAGGGCCTTTGAACAAGATCTGCTCCTTGAGAACCGAGTGAGGATTCCGGTCAGACGGACCGTTAAGCTCATTTTGAAGCACTTGTGAGAGGTCGTTTTCCCCCTTGACCCTTGTGTGGCCAGTGACGGCATTTGTAGTTCGAGTCGAACCCGTGTGGCCCGCGATATCCCCATCATTAATAGTAGCAATCATCCGCTGGAGTTTTTCGATAGCCCAGATCTTCATGCGCATTTGCCGAGCTCGGTGCAGCACATCCATTCCCCTCTGTTCACGCCGTGCATCGTTTTTAAGGGACATGTGAAGGTGGCTTTCGGCGCTCTTATCGAGTAGAGACGGATTGACGGTCTGCAAGGTACCATCCGCATTCAATTGTTCTGTAGGTTCCGCGGTGATCTCGGTCGGGGTCACGGTGTCATTTTCAGGGGGGATGGGGCGAGAGGTCACGACGTGGCTCACTTGGCGCGAGAAGAATTTTTCTTCACGCTATAGAAGGTCAGCAAATCTGTCAATGGCACGCGAACAGACATATCAAAGGCATGAGTATACCTCGAGCCCCCTCTTAACCTAAGGCTCTCCGGTGCTACTGAAAATCGAAGTGGGCTGGGGGCAAAGAAAAACTTACAGCTCCTAGAGCCAGAACCTGTCTTGAGCATTTGCTTCGAACATCCTCCGGGATACTGTCGAAGTAGAAGACGAATTGAGGGAAAGCCTTTCGGTAATGTCTTTGCCACTGTCGCATGGCATCAAGCGTCTCAGCGGACGGCTTGTCATTTCTTGTAACTTTTTGTTGAGTCTGACGTTCCTTGTCCCTGACGGCAACCAACTTCCTTTCGAACGCGCTGGGCTGGGCATTGTTGGTCCGACGTGTAAACAGCTTAGAGTCCGGGTTCTGCAAGGCGGAAGTTCGGGGACGGGTGGGTGATCGGGCCTCCGGGTCCTGGCCATCGACTACCTGCTTCTTCGGAGGAGGCTGGCCGTAAGGGATGTCAAGCTGGGTTGACGCCGCCCGGAGACGTTTGGCCGGCACGAGGCCTGACCTGTGAGGGGAATTGGTAGCATTCGGCACGTTTGCGAGTGGTCGGCGAGTCGACATATTAAGAGTGGTTCGAGGGGAGGGTGGGATGAATACTGCTGCCATGTGGTAACAATAGCGGCAGCACTATGAACGAGGAATAAGAGTAGGAGTAAGTTGGAAGAGCAATAAAGGAGGGGCACTCCAGACGAGCACGCGATGGGATTACACGTCTCGACGAGCAGAGAACTCGATCAGAAAAGGTCCATTGTCCACGCGATTATACGATAGTGACAGGGAGTGAATGTGAACAAATGAGACTTAGATGGTCCCTTAGTTAGAAAGGGATCCGACCAACAGTCCCAAACCTGAAGGAAGGAAGAGCAGGAGGGCAATAAGAGGTAGGGGAGGAGGAGGAGGAGTAAGTAAAGTGGTTGGTGGTGGTGGTGGTGGTAGTGGTGATGATCGAAGAGAAGAGCCAGGCTAAGCGTGTCAGGGAAGGCTGGTGGAGAACGGGCGGGTTTGTTTTGGCTCCGGATGTGCGCCTGACAACAAAAGGCGTGCGCGAAGCATGAGCCCTGCCTCCTCCAAGAACATTCTTATTTAATCCCTCGCTATTCAGGCTCTTCAACAATTGCATGATGCTCTGAGTGAATCTATCTCGTTTCCTTTATCTCTCAACTGTGACTGTTCTGGCTGTATCTTCGACTCACGAATCGTCTTCTTGAACCAAGCCTGGACGCGTCCAGACAATCCCATTGATGCATCACAAAATGTATGACGTCTATCCTAGCACCAAAACTTGGTTTCTATGTTTACCTGCACCTGAACGAGGTCATTACCTCTAAAAATGGGAGGGCTGGTTTCTAGTTTACAATTAAATCGAAGGGTATCTATCCAATTTTCCTGTTCCTTCTATCCTAATCCCGAAGGGCTTCAATGTCTTCGACCTAAAGTAGCACCCAGCGCGTCAGCAACAGATCAAGACCCGATTGAAAAGCATAGCTAACCTCTTTGACAGCTTCTGTAGTCAGGACGATAGGATTCTCGTCACCGACACAAACACTATCCTCAATGCGAATACCAATACCGCGGAATTTCTCCGGCCAACGGTCGCTTTCGGGGACATACAGGCCACTGAGAAAGGTTAGTGAGAGCATAACAGAACTAGGCGAGAAATACGTACGGCTCCACTGTGATACACTGTCCTGCCCGCAGAGTATAGCCACGAGAATACCCCGAGCAATCATGGACATCAAGCCCAACATAGTGTCCCACGTGGTGAGGGAAGAGGATTCCCATGGCCTGTCCCAGATCAGTACTTCGAATACTATATTAAAATGGCGTAAGACGGCACTTACATCTCCAGAGACATCAAATCCGAGTTGTATCAACTGTTCCCGCAGACCGTTCTCGGCAATCGTATGCAACCGGTCCAAGCTCACCCCTGCATCTTCCCTGCAGAGGGAGAGACAGTGGCGGTGCACGCTCAGGACTGCGTTGTACAGGTCCTTCTGAGGATCGGTGAATTTGCCATTTACAGGCCAAGTTCTCGTAATATCAGACACATAGGTGCCCGTTTCCTATGATACTGTGAGTGCTCAATCTATGAGCTCTTTTGGAGAGGATACTCACTCCGCCTCCGTCAACGAGGACCATGTCTCCATCCCTAGGTGCTCGTATTAGAGCATCGCTTAGTAACTACGACCGCAGATACTTACCGAAGCACATCGTCATTCCTAGTGTAGTGAATGCTCAAGGCATTCTAAACATGTTAGGATTGGTCTGTCGTCTGGCATTGGATGGGTTAAACTTACGGAACCACCCGCAACAACAGGGACAAAGGCACTGCCATCGCAACCATTGCGTCTGAAGTTATACTCGAGATATGCGGTCAAGTCTCTCTCCTTGGTGAATGTCTGCCTCATAGCTTCAGTGAACGCCCTGCCCGAGGCCTGTCCCACTCGGCGCATCTGTACGACCTCGTCTTCGCTCTTGAAGACTCTCATCTCATTCAGTATCGGCTTCAGCGGCTTGACCTTGCGGTAGTCGACCAGTTTCTTCAGCTTCTCGGAGGTAGCAGTGGGGCCGTAGAGGAAGCGATGAAGGGACGACCGCCCGGGGTTCAAGGCAGGAATATCCGTATAGATCGCCGTAGCATCCGACAGAATCTTGGGTAGCAAATCTCCGATGCGATCGATGTCCCCTGACTGGAATCCAGTTTATCGTCAGTGTCCGAAGCATTAACGTGACGGCACAAGCATCCCTACCTCGTCCGCATTGAAGACATCAATGGCAGCGCGGGTTCCTGACCGGGCTCCATCCCAGAGTTCGGCCTTCGCGTCCTTCTCGCGCACGTACAAATGGAAGAGATGATTATTCCCTGATCCGTCATTTGCTGCGAGGTGAGTCAGCACGGTGTACCCTCATCCTGTGACGTTCTTGTTCCGCCATGCCGAAACTCACCGACGATGGCCAGCGCGCTGGGTTCGTTGAAGCCGGTAAGATAGAAGAAATTGGAGTCTTGACGGTATTCATTGAAGATTCCCGCTGCGCGATAGGTGACCTCCGAGGCAGCCAGCACGGCTACAGCATGCTTGGGTAGTTGGTTTGCGAGTCGCGAGCGTCGCTGGGCATATTCGAGGGCGGTGATTCCGGGGGTCACTTATTCAACGGGACCATGATCAGTACCCTGGCACAAGATTATAAAGAAGCATAGTACAGAGGCTCTACTCACATTCACCTGGGTTCAAGATATGAGGATGTGTCTCGTGAAGTGGTTGACCGAATTTGAGTTCTGCGGCGGAGATGGAAGCATAGGTTCGGTGAAGCGCAAGACGCGGTTGACGCTGTTGGAGCACCGAACGGCTAGGATGCGATAGGAAAGCGGAGGGTGTCTGGCGGGGAAAGTAGCGAGGCCATTGGCGGAGAAGTACTTTACATGTCGACATGCTTATTGAAGTACCACCATTGAAGGTGCGTCGAAGGCGCTTATCTGGAATTTCGCGTATGGCGTATGGCGTATGGTTCGGATCTTACAACGGTGATCTCCAACATCCGGGGTCCCAAGGTTTCTGTTCCTGCCTCAGGCACAACAATGCAAGCCCCCTTCGGCGCTGCCCGCCAATCAACGTCAAGTAGTTTCCGATGGTTTCCTCCATCGCTGTTCATTGGATTGGCCGTGGCTTCACAATCGTATTATCTCGGAGTTGAGAGACGTACCACAACCTATGCTTCTTATTGCTGAGAAAAGTAGTCGATTGCGAATACCTAAAGGATACCTTAGTACTACTGAAGTGTGTACCATGTGAACTTGCTTACCGGGAGAGTGGACGTAATCTTTTGTAGGATTCTGAGTGACTCATGAACAATAACTATAAATGTCTGAGCTCACTCAGCGTCAGTAGAAAGAACGTAACTTCATTTCCCCATTCTCTCTGTACTACTGCACAGCGTGAAGACCACAGTATCTGCTCGATTTACATTAAACTTGCTAGGGACAATCCAACAAAATGGGAAGAACTCTAACATATCCCAAGAAACCGTCAAACACCGTCAACCGCTACAAACATCGAGGTAAGACAGTCCCCAAAAGGGAAAGCACAGCTCAGCTAACCACGATATAGCGACTTACGACCTCGGTGCCATTCATTCAATCATCAACTCCACCCAGGTCCTTCATGTGTCCTTCAGCCCGGGGCCGTCTGAGCCCTTTCCCGCGATCCTACCCATGATCGGGCAGATGGGCTCCTTCGACTACCCATCCGCCAGCATCGACGAGCCTTTGGATTGCTACCTTCACGGCTATGTCAGCTCTCGAATCATGAACCTTGCGCGCGACTCGGAGGGAGAGGGCCTTCCCGTCTGTGTGGCGGCCAGTAAAGTCGACGGGCTAATCCTATCACTGACGCCCAACTCCCACAGCTACAACTACCGTTCTGCCATCATCCAAGGCTACGCGCAGCTGGTCACGGATGAGGCGGAGAAGCTGTACGCGATGGAGCTCATCACGAACTCCGTGCTCGCAGACCGCTGGGCCAACACGCGAGTGCCGCCCGACCGCGCCGAAATGTCCTCCACCGTCATTCTCCGGGTCAAGGTCGTTAGTGGCAGCGGCAAGATCCGCGATGGTGGGGTGTCCGACGAGAAGAAGGATACTGGCAACGAGGAGGTCACCGACCGGGTCTGGACGGGCGTGGTGCCTGTCTGGGAGACGTTCGGAGAGCCTGTCCCGAGTGATCAGAACAAGGTGGCTGAAGTACCGGGCTATATCAGCGCATTTGTGGCGGCGCAGACTGCGGGAAATCGTCAGTATGCGGAGAAGGCCATTGGGATCCAGCTGCCGAAAGAGGAGCAGCATTGATATGTGTTGAGTTGGAGTACATACTTGGAACTCTCTTATTTTCATTGTTGATTTGTTGATATTGTTCTCAGTCAATGAGCGGGTAGATCTTCTTTGATTGATTGTGCATCTGAGCTATTCATAACAAGTTCAAAGTAATGGAGGGTAAGCCGGAATCGCCTGTAGACATTGTGCGGGGTATGATGAGGGGATCTGGACGTTGATAATGCTACTAGGTAGGCTAGACACAAGACTCTGCCAACCAACCTCTGGATAATAGGACGAATCACAAGACATGAGTCTTAAAATCTGCTTTCAGAGCAAGTCAAATTATTAGAGGGTAATGTTTTGGTATTACACTGGTTAATGGATCATGTTGGGGATAAAGTTCATTATCGCATATACTTCGGTGGCTACCCCACGTCATCGCTTAGCGTCCCCTCTCATCGGAAAGCCAACATGCTCTCTCACAACAACTTCCAGATTCCTCAAGCGACCGGTCAGAAGGGGAAAGGGTATTCCTCAGTGTGTCTACCTAGAGCCGACTTCTCTCATTGTTGCTATTGTGACTCAATTTGTCCGTAGCAAGGCAGGCTACTAGATACACGGACCTACCCCACCTCGTTCCAGAGGCTACCGTCATGGCTTCGTCCCCCATACCAGCAGCAGACCTCAAGTCATTCACAGACCACCTTAGAGGGTGCAAAAGGGTCATTGCCCTTTTAGGAGCCGGCATTTCCGCCTCCTCTGGACTTCCCACCTTCCGAGGTGCTGGTGGAATTTGGCGATCCTACGATGCGACTGCACTGGCAACTCCTGAAGCATTCAACGCCAACCCAGACCTGGTATGGCAATTCTACAGCTATCGAAGGCATATGGCCCTCAAGGCCCAGCCCAATCGTGCACATTACGCTCTGGCCAAGCTGGCCCAGAAGAATTCCAATTTCATCACGTTGACACAGAATGTTGATGGTGAGTCTGAGACTGCGCTCCCGAAGAAAATGAGGGAACAAAGAGGAATTCAAAAATCATTTTATTCACACACTAACCAGTTGACCTTTTGCTAAAAATGCAGGTCTCTCGCAGCGAGCAGGTCACCCCTCTCACCAGCTCCACCTCCTCCACGGCTCCCTTTTTACTGTGAAATGTACGTCTTTCTACTGCAGCTACTCGCGCGAAAATGACTTTACCGACCCAATCGTGCCTGCACTCGCCCTTCCAAAGGGTGCGGCAAATCTCGATCCATCACCCGAAGATTCGACCGGTGAGCGGGCGTCTCGAGCTTTGGCGGGCGCGCTGAAGAGTGGAGAAGGGGACGATGCAGAGCTGGATATCTCCGATGAACGGGTTCCTCTGCCCGCGCTGAGTCCCGACGTACTCCCCCGCTGTCCGGAGTGCAAGGAAGGGCTCCTACGGCCCGGGGTGGTGTGGTTTGGGGAAAGTCTACCGCTACGAACGCTCGACTATATCGACAAATGGATGAGTAAGGACACGGTGGATCTTATCTTGGTGATTGGGACTAGCTCGCAGGTCTATCCTGCGGCAGGGTATGTCGATAAAGCGCGCGCAAGAGGTGCAAGGGTGGCAGTCATTAATATGGATCGCAACGATGTCGGGTCTTCCGGGTTGACTTCGAGGGATTGGTTCTTCCAGGGCGATGCTGGAGTCATCGTACCTCAGATATTAGAGCCTATTATTGGCAAGGTATGATAAGGAGGGGGGCTCAGAAGAGGGTTCTATCTGGCTATCTAGAATGATTGCATAGCAGGCTACGAAAAGAAGAGAAGAGCGGGGTACTGCTGCTCACCGCAATTTCTTATGGATACCACCGTAAAATTGTGAATTCAATGGACGGTTCCGATTTGGCTAACCAGTCAACAAGACGTCATGCTTCTTAAGTTAAGTCCAAGCTCCAATTTCACTCTAAATCCCCAGATTTTCAGCCGTCAAGGCGCTTTGTCGCAGGCTCAAGTTCCATGTTGGGTCCATGCGTCCGAAGCGGTTGCCGGGGCAAAGAGGGGGAACCAAACCAAACAAATGATAGCGCTATCGATAAAATGTGGCAGGCGTCGGCACTAACAAATACGTACTCCGTAGCGGGATCTTCTTTTTGGTCTCCATCTCAGCCCCTCCTCCCCTTCCCCTCCATCTCTTCTCCAGTTCTGGAATATCTTAAGCATCCTTTGCTCGATCATGATCTAAAGTGAGTTTATGCTTGGGGTTCAGCCTTCACTTCACCCTCATCCCTAGCGTGTACTGTAATGCCTTCACCTTTCGCCATCATTGTGGGTGTGTGCCTTGCTAACCACTTGCTGGTTCTACACAGGATCAAACTAGACTTCCCATTCAACCAGACCAGGAACTCGAACCAGTTATTGGACTGCTCTCTCGGAAGTTCGATGCACATAATATACGCATAAACAAGCGCGGAGCGGCAGCTACTAACCCACAGGACCATACCAACAACAATCCCCCATAACCATCACTCAACATGGCGCGCGAAAGTGATGCTCCGATAGATCCCATGACACCTCGCCGGCCAACTGACGGGCAGCAACAACCACAGCGGCAGCAGCAGCAGCAAGAGCCTCGTCGTGTTCATCCAGAGTTCGGGAAAGCAACTCCTCTTCGCCCAGTGCAACACCAGAGTCATGCTCACCCGAGCCAGAAGACTCACCACCCGAACTCTTCCACCACCACCAACAACAACCGAGGCAACCCTTTCAACATTCCCAAACCCAATCAAGCTCGCCCCGAACATCACCGACTCCAGCAACATGCACGACCTCAGCACCAGCCTTTCCCCCATCCCAAAGGACCGATGACCCCAGGCCCTGCTGGAGGTTTCTCTACCCCTCGTCGGGCAGACCACTACGACCCTTTCAAGCCCGTTCGTCCCTCTGCCTATAACAACAACCGCTTCTCCCGCCCAGTCAACGACGATGTCGTCGAGATTCGCCGGCCAGAAAATTATACCTTCAATACGCCGCGGGCGCCCAAGACTTTCTTTGCCTCCAAGCCCTCGGCCATCAAAATGTCGAATGCGTCGCGAAATCTACAAAATTTCGTCGATTTAACCGGTGGGGGTGGGTTCACGCCGAGTGCGCGGCCCAAGAATACAGGGTTCGGATCGATGGATGTGAACGGGTTCGTGGATACGGCGAAGGCGAATGAGAATATTAAGGCATTGTTGGAGGGGGCATTTGAGGATGACGAGGACAAAGAGAAGAAGAAGGACAAATCAAAGAAGAAAAAGAAGAAGGACAAGAAGAGAGATTCCAAGAAGGAGAAGAAGGATTTGACGAAAGAGAAGAAGCAGGACACCGTTGACATTGATGATCTTGCCGCGCAGCTGGAGGGTGTGACGGTGAAGGAGACGAGAACTTCAGATGATAGTGAGGATGAAGACGAGACATCCCCGAGCTCGCCTAAAGCCTCCGCTGAGGATTTGGCGAAGGAAAAAGAAGAGGAGATCACCAGTGAGGTTGATGATGAGTCAGAAGACGAGGAAGAAGAGGAAGAAGAGGAGGAGGAGGAAGATGACGATGATGGCACAGTGGAGGGCCTCAAGGTCAAATTACTTCCTCACCAGCGCGAGGGTGTTAACTGGATGTGTGATAAGGAGACTGGCCGAAACAAGACGAAGGGTGTCCTTCCCAAGGGTGGTATTCTGGCTGATGATATGGGTCTCGGGAAAACCGTTCAAACGATCGCCCTGATCCTTTCTAATCGAAAACCTGCAAATGGATTAAGAAGGTCTAAGTCTGAGGATGAGGACGACAGTGACGAGGACGAAGAAGAAGATACTCGGAAACTTCCGCCCGGTCTCAGCAAGACCACTTTAGTCGTCGCACCTCTGGCACTTATCAAGCAGTGGGAAGCAGAGATTCAAGACAAAGTTGAACCCTCACACAGGCTCCGTGTGCTAGTTTACCACGGCACTGCACGCGCAAAGGCGACAGACAAATTGGAGGACTACGATGTTGTGATCACTACCTATGGAACTCTGACGTCGGAGCATGGTGCGATCGACAAGAACAAGAAGAAGACGGGCATTTTTTCGGTCTACTGGTATCGGATCGTCCTAGATGAAGCCCACACGATCAAGAACCGAAACGCCAAGGCAACCCAGTCTGCTTGTGCTCTCGACGCTGAATATCGGTGGTGCCTATCAGGAACGCCACTGCAGAACAACCTTGACGAGCTCCAGAGTCTTATCAAATTTCTACGAATCAAACCATTCAACGACCTAGCCAATTGGAGAGAGCAGATCACGAAGCCCATAGCTAACGGTCGCGGTGGTCTTGCCATTGAGCGGTTGCAGGTCTATCTCAAGATCTTTATGAAGAGACGGACTAAGGATGTTCTGAAGCAGAACGCCAACCTCAAGCCGGGTGAAGAAGGCAAGGGAGGTGAAAAGAAGAAGTCCACTGGCTTCCAGATCGTCAAACGAGAGGTCGTCAAGGTTGAAGCGGAATTTATGCCCGGGGAACTAGACTTTTATAAACGCCTTGAACAGCGTACAGATGACAGTCTGGAGAAGATGATGGGTGGTGAAAAGGTCGACTATGCCGGCGCGTTGGTCCTATTGTTGCGCCTCCGGCAGTCGTGCAATCACCCCGACCTGGTCAAGAGCGATCTTGCAAAGGACAAAGATATTCTCCTGCAGACAGGAGCCACTGGTAGTCAATCGTCATCTGACAAGAACGATGACCTGGACAGCATGGCAGATCTGTTTGGAGCATTGAGTGTGGTGTCCAAGAAATGTGATATCTGTCAGATGGATCTTAGCAAGGACGAGGCATCGGGCGGTAGAAGTAGATGCAGAGAGTGCCAGACTACGTTGGATACAAACGTGATGACGACCGACAGGAAGAAAAGGACTGGTCCCAACGCGGTTATCGATCTGACACAGTCACCTTCGGCGCGCCGCTCTGAGGCCCAGGCAGCTCGACTCCGCAGAAACAGAAGAGTGGTTCTCGACAGCGATGACGAGGATGACGAGGATGGCGAAGATGGCGAGTGGATAGTCCCAGAGAATCAGCGCAAGGAAGCCAATCTAGGGAAGGCTGGGGGAACCGACGATGAAGATGCTGAGGGGGGCGGTGAATGGCTCAACTCGGATGATTCTGACACCGACGAAGACGAACCGGATTCACCGAGTCGGAAGCCTACGAGCATACGCAAAGAGACTCATGGCCTTGTTACTGTCGATAGCGAGGACGATGATGACATCTACCTAAATCCTGGGGATGACGCCAGCGACGTTCTCCCGTCTACCAAAGTCCGGCATCTCATGAAGATCCTCCGACGTGAGTCGGCAGACCACAAATTCATCGTCTTCTCGGTTTTCACCTCCATGTTGGACAAGATTGAGCCCTTTCTCAAGCGCGCGGGAATTGGATTCGCGCGGTACGATGGTGGCATGCGTAACGACCATCGCGAAGCGAGCCTCAACAAGCTTCGCAACAACAGTGCCACGCGGGTTCTTCTGTGCAGTTTGCGAGCTGGTGCATTGGGGCTAAATCTCACTGCCGCAAGCCGTGTCGTCATCCTGGAGCCATTCTGGAATCCTGTAAGTTGAACTCGGGCTACTACTAAGTGTGAGGACTTGTACTGACTCTGAAATCCAGTTTGTCGAAGAGCAAGCGATTGATCGAGTTCACCGACTGAATCAGACCCGGGACGTCAAGATCTTCAAGATGATCATCAAAGGCACGGTGGAGGAGCGGATTCTTGATCTTCAGGATCGCAAGCGGGAACTCGCGAACGTGACCATTGAAGGCAAGACCGCAGCTGCGAAGCTCACGATGAAGGACATGATGGCGCTGTTTGGCAAGGATGCCGAAGCGCGATACAACGGAGACAGCAACATCGACTTGACGCAGACCACTAAACTGTTGGCCTCCGGGACTGATGGCGGCTCTCCGTACGTGAGCAAGAGCAGCGCAAACCGATCCGCCGAGTCGCAGTCGCGCGAGCGCAACCGTCAGCAAGGCAACCGTGCCTCTCGGACGGAGGATTCGGTGTATGGGAGACGGTGGTAATCCAGATGATGGTTGCGTGATCAAACTTCGAAACGCATCGTGTGATGGGCCACGCACATGGATCCTTGATAGGCGGTCAATGCATTAGAAGGTGTTGATTGGGGGTTTAGCTAGAAGGATACACGGTTTCAGGACATTTACTAGTGCATTACATGTTGTTATGTGGATATGGATAAATCAAGATTTCGGGTTTTATGCTGCTTATTGCGGGTAGACAATGGGATGGAAATTTTTCCCAAACTTCTGACTCGCATCTCCCTGAGTAGGAATTTGGTAGAGTATAGCTTGGCAATCACGTCAAACCATACTCCGCGCTGTTTCATGAATTCTGTCCACCGTTTCAGAACCGGCTGGGGTCAAGGAAGTTGGGCCTTGCAGATATAGTCTTTATATCACCTCGGCCTATTGAGTATAGACCAACTTATCCGTTTGGCGTAGATAGATTGGAAATAGAGAAATGATCCGGAGACTATTGCAACCCACATCCGGCTTGTTTATGGTTATCCTCGACCACGGAGTTGGTTTGGTCTCCCTCGCGCCGGACTGGAGTGAGGGCTAGGGGTGGGGGTCTTCCTGCTTCTCTTGCTTCCTTTGTTCTATCGGATCTGTGGCTTCCATACGATGATAGTGTAAAATCATCCTCGTCTTGATCATGGCGCTTGGTGTTGAGACAACTGATACCCGAGGCTATGCTGAATGTTGATAGACAAGGCAAGTTGACAAATCCCTTCTCCCTCCTCTCTTTCCTGATCTCCCCCGAGCGCCCCGTTCGATTCATTGCCTGCACTACTATCGCCATGATCACCCACGGTCCCGTACATGGTGGGGGTGAACAGGGTATGTGGATTATAGATAGGGCTGCGGGGTAGGACACTCATATGAGTAGATCGGAATTGTCATATTTCTCCCTTACGATCAAGATCAAGCCTTACCTTACCGATCCTTAAATCAGACGCCCTTCTTTGCTAGGTAGGAAGGAAAGGGGGCCCGGGGGGGTTATAGTGGGGCTGTAGGCACACACAAATCAATATGCAGGAATCTTGATTATCTATGTCAAGGCTTTGCAGGATTACGGTAGGATTGATTGAATTGTATTTCCGGCGGTACGGCGAGCCGCGAATTAGAGGTGGGGAGTGGGGGGGGGGCGAAGGTGCACAGTGCGTATGTGATCTGTCATGACGATGGACGGGGTTTGTGGGTGGCGACGCTTAGTTGGGTAAAGCGCTTCGCTTTTGTTCGGTTGTATTTGAATATACTGTCTACTACTGGGTGCTGAGTGGTTACTGGGGTGGAATGTGGGTTTGTTGACGTGGTTGGTGGCTTTGCAGGTCAAGTGGTGTGAGGGCTTCGTCAGGTAGATGATATATTTGGTGGTTTACGTATAGTGCGTCGTGGTGATCGGCGTGTTTCCTGTATTGTTGGGGATTGCTAAGTGGTGGTCACTGTGCCGGTAAGTGTCTGCTGTGGGAATTTACTATGTATGTGCCTATCTATGGGCATGTACATGATCATATGTCCACCAACCTAGTGTTGTAGTGACTGCGGTAGGTCCAGGGGGGATAATAACGCCAATATCTAGCCTCGTGTGAGCGAGCATTCTTGGAAACCATTGGACTGGTTAGGTTAAAAGGGGTGGGGGGGAGGGAGCCAGCCACCGCCAGAAGAAGTACTGCACTCATACTCTGCAGGCCCTACGCCATAATACCAAAGTACTGCAGACATAGACCGTGTGGAGTGATTGGACCCTTGCCAGCTAGTCACTCGTGACAGCCAATCAATTGGATTTGGAATTCTAGCCCTGTCCCAAAGTCCCCCATGATAGGCTAACTGGAAACTGAAATGATATGGGATATCAGGTCTAGATTGGTGTTGCTGCTACTGCTGCTGCCTAGCCCGCTCATAGTGTAGCATTACCATCTACTGCACCCGGGACGAGTGAAATGCGGTAGCGAGATCTGCCTAGTATAGCAGGGTCGGACAATGAGCCGTATTCGTGACGAGTCAGTCAGTACTAGTTGTGCTGGTAGATAAGCGAGGGGTTGGCAGTTCCTGTCAGTGGATTGCCATCCTCCGTTGCCGATCAACACGGGTGGGGGAGTATGAGTACGTTGGGGTGAACCAGCCCCTGATACGAGGGGATGGATGGTCTGGTTTGTGGCTTGGATGGTTGCGGGGAGAGGAGGTTGTTGTCGATCAGGGAGAATTGGCACCGGGGATATTGCCGGGGAGGGTTAGAGATGTGGTGCGATTGGGAATCGAGCGGGTTGGTTGGTATCTCCGTAGATATATGATATTATTCAGGTGGTTTATAGCCCGCGGACTATCGGCGCAATTGCGTGGTCATGCGGCAGGGGATGGCGAGATTAAGGGTTGTATCCGAGTTATGGTGGAGGTGAGTAACAGACGTAGGGTCAATTGGGGCAAAAAGAATGTCTTAAGTTAATTGATAACAGTTGTAAGTAACCGAACCAGGTTGAATTGGTGGCATTGTAGAGCGAGAAGGGAACTGCTATACCAGCGGAGATGAACGAGGATAGCACTTATAATAGTCTGTTGTGCAAAAAGACAAAAAGACTTGACAAGAGTGGGATTCGAACCCACGCCACTTGCGTGACTGCAATGCTCTTCAGATGTGATCTGGAGAAGGAATAGTCCTTGAGTGCAGCGCCTTAGACCGCTCGGCCATCTTGCCCTTTGTTGATATCAAGTCATGAGCAGTTTTTATAAGAGACAGGTTTGAAAAGCAAAGTTGCAAGTGTCCCCTTGTCGATCGGGATGTTATACAAATGGGCTTGTTGTACGTTGTACAACGAATCTGTAAAGAAATTCGGCTCCAGTTGAACTTGTGATTCTTATTGACTGGCGTACCTTGGGACGGTCCGTACATTATCGAATCACGGCAGGAATTGTAACTTCTTACCAAGCAACTCCGTATGTGTGACGTAGGTACAGTATATATCGATCGTACGTACCGCCCATGGAATTGCTCCTGATCCACCACGGGTCTCCATCGACCCAGATTCATCCCAGATCCTACATACACGCAAGAGATACAACGCACCAGTGCACAGTACATAAACTCCGCTGTAGCATACCGACTAGGAAAGCGAAACCAACAGTGCACACCCAAGAAACGAAAGTACAGTCTTCACGCATCTCCCAACATGGAAACCCATATACCGACGACCGACCTTTTACATGCGACCGGGATATACCGGGATAAACCAATATTATGCAAGCACCTAGCTAGACGCGCATCAAACCCAAGCAAGAATTTAGTAATCTAACCAAGTTAACGTAATCGGTAAGCGAGCGGAACGCGCAAGCGAGTGGAACGCCCAACTCGTGATTCTGCTTTATATACAAATTTGAAGTCAAATATCAACCTTTTTACACCGTTCAAATTGCCTCTTCTTGGTGTTTTACTCTTGCTGGACACCATGTCCGTATATGACCAACTTTATTACACGAAGAACAGCGAGGTGGCGCGCGCCGGCGAGGCTGTTCCTCGCCGGCCGCAGAATCAGACCGTTGGATTCCCAAGGCTTCATCTTCCTCACGAGCCCGGCGAAAAAGCTGTATAGCTTCATGAACTGTAGCTCCTTCGAGGCCTGCCAATTGGCGATTACTTCGTTTCCTCTTCTTAGTCTGGTGTTCGTCTGCAGCCCGTAAATCATGATTTTCCTGTTCAAGTAAGGCTGCCCTGTTTAACGCGATTTCGCAGCCTTTGATGATATATGATAATGCAGTTCTCATTGACTTCCGGAGGACTTCGTGTACGTTCACGCAGT